AGCTATAAAAATCATTACTCATTTTGTATTGGTCATCAAGTTTTTTTCTTCTTCTCAATTTGGTTATGCACTATATGAAATTTGGACTCATTTTAGTCAACATTCACATCTAGTTCTAAATAACAAGCGTTCGCTGGTTTACTATATATAGTCTAATTCAGTCCTCGGTCCCTTAAAATGCCGTTCTTAATTAGGGTGAGATATGCAGCAGGATTAGATCAAGTGGAAATTGCATAGCTAAGGACCAAATTGATACCATGACCGAAAGTAAGAATAAAAACAAGGTGTTTCCCACTTTCCCTCAATAGTATTACACTATTACTATATTTTTTCTTTAAATATGAATAGAGCACATCCATCCTGAAATCATATTGCTATATTATCACATTATTAAACATTAATAAGACAGTATTAAGGTCAAATATGACTATGCTTTCAGGATTATGGTACTTCTGTTCAGGAAAAATGTGGTACTCCTATTTAGGGAAATCATCTTATTTGTTACTCCAATTTAGGGCAATATCTTAAAGTTGAGGGTGAAATTGGGTAATAATCTATCGCCTAGGGATTGTATCAGTTATTAACTCTGAAACTGATGATTCAGTTTTTCTATGGAGCTCTGAGATTGTTGAAAATGTTTCTTTCTTTGGCAAAACGTAAAAACTGTCAAACTTATTTCACTTCAGTCTTCATTGCCGTACATAAATACATAATGGAAGGAAGCTGTTATTACAATTTTATAAGATGTTAAGATCACATCATGTTCCTGCTTATATATAGTTGATTATTGCAATCAGAAATCCTAAAGAGTCATGATCTTGGAGTGAATGTCGAACCTCTCTGAAGATGACAATTGAGGCACCTGCATTTAAATATTTAAAAGGTTAATAACCCTCATTGCCATTATTAGTCTAAGGGGTTGACCCAATACCAAAGCTCAGAAACAGTGTTGAGCATTGAGAGCCTTGTCACCACTCACCACCAATGCATGGAAGGCCAAAATAGTAATAATACCTGTGGTGGTGCCCCCGCCTGCGCTTCATTGATTAGGTTACGCAACGATCCAAGTAATTGACCATATGTCAATTTCGGATCTTCATTTAAAGCTTTGATGAAACCATAAGTTAGGACACCTATTGCACTTCCAGTGAAAGCCTGTAAAACCATGCATGTGCTTTAAGCAGATTAGACGGCTTCAAGAATTATTGAACTGTTCAGATGAAGTAGTACTCACTGTAGTGTCTGCGGAGTTCTGATCATCATCACAGGCACTGATACTTATCGCTGTTCCTCCGCTAGTTCCTTTGTATACGTTGCTGTACGGTGTCCTATGATCTTCCCACTTGACATACCCATCCCTGCTTCAACTTTTCAACTCCATCACAATCTACCACCAACGGTTACACACACACACACACACACACACATTGGACTGCTCAGGTCCAGATTTTTCATATCTGTCCGTCTGAACTTTTGATAGGAGCTGTTGGATCGGACTACAGTCAACAATCATCTAGCCCTAGGGTCTGATTGCTCACTGCAAAAGTTCTGACCATATTCTTCATGTAATTCTGACCTGTCATATCTGTATATATGGGTGTGGTTTGACTTCGTACTACAAATGCTACTCATGCATAGAGACTGAATCTCAACCGTTGAGTTTGACATCAAACAGTGATGGTCATTCTAGAATTCATTTAGTCTACACTGAAGTTTATACGTATCTAGCTTTTATAGTCACAAGAAATGGATTTATCAACCGGCGGTACCTATCCAAACCATTTGTGCGCCTACACACACACAGAGCAAAAAAATATTGAGAGCTTTTTTAAAGATGGGATGAAACCATAAATAACCTGGTCATTCTGCACAAGAAGGGTAGATCCATGGAGGTTCCACTGAAACAGGTGTCCATGATGGCGTGAAGTGTGACTCCACGAGTTAATGGCCTTACAAGTTTAGCATTCATTTCATCGTCTAGTATCTTCCCCTCTGTATCATAGTCGAGAGGGCAAATTGATTCGTCAATCCCATCAATCTCATCACCATCATTGTCAGGGACTTGTGAGGCGTGTCCTGAGTAATAGAACACCAATGAATCTCCTGGCTGGCAGCCTCGTACCAACCAATTTAAGGATTCTCTGATGTTTGCCTTGGTTGGGGTCCTGTAGGGGTCTCTCTCATCCTCTGCAACATGTTTCATTTCATTAAAAGTCTCACATCAAAATATTACAGATTGACATATGGGTTAGAATAGTTAATCGCTTGGATTCAATCTTTTAGTATGATTTAACCCGTTTATATTTTGAACGAGTTTATCAAATAGTCCCTCTAGCCAAGTATGTTGGGCTACTTTCTTTTTTGTGGATGGAACTACAAATACTATATAAATACCTGCGAGGACAAGTACAGATGAAGGTGGAAATCCCAATTTGGAGACCAGAAGATAAGACATGGATCTGACGTTGTTAATGCTGCCTTTGAGACTCTTCTTGTGGCCTCGATAGGTGACACCACACAGAACGGCACGTCTCCTACTCTGAGCTGCAGGTACATATGATGATGGTTGCATCATCTGATAAGCGTTGTAGTCGTATCTCATGGGGGCGTTTCTCTGCCGGAGCACAATGACAGTTCTGCATCCGGGGCAAACAACGCTCTGTGCCTGGATAGGAACTTGCATCAGTAGTCCACACCAGGCACACCTCTCTCTCACCATTGCCATTTCGTTTGAGTAAAGAGAAAGGACAAGCTTCTGTATATGGTTGTGTGATTGTTTCAATTTTTCAATGTTGATGTATATATAGGGACCGGAAACCTTGGTGGCAACGTGGATTGTATTAAAAGTGAATTTTTATTTGTGAAAAATTGGCACTTGTTACTTTTGATGCTCAAATAATGTGGATGCTATGTGGACTCGTGGAGAAAACTAATTCTAATGCTTGGTATAGGCATTTTTTGTTTGGTCTTGGTTCGGTTCGTTTAGTTGGTATTAAATTATTAATACGGTTTGAGAAAATATTATCAAATAAGACACTAAGACAGGATGGAATATATATTCTCAATGTTTATATTTCTGGAATTTAGAGAAGAAATAGAATTTCTCAATACGGAGTATTCTATGGCATAGGGTTCATGCAGTTGGTCCAACAATAGATAATCTTAGTCATAATCAAGTGTGATGAAAAGACATGATGGTAAGATGCGTATCTATCTATAGATATTGTGTGTTTATATTTGAGTACAACTAAGGTGGGAATAAGTGGGGGATTTAAGGCCTATGATTCCTCTCAAACGTGTAAAGGAAAATGATAAACTCAAGGGAAAAATCACTTTGCATCTAGTTGGACTACAAGGAACTAAGGAAGAGATGCCTGCCCTATCCCAATACATTAAGTGTTCATCATATAACAACTGATCAAGGTGTTTATTAAGCTTGTTTAATGGCTTAACTGCTTGAGGCGCTTTTGTGATGATATATCATTTTTAAGGAAAAGAGCTTCACGTAGAAGCAGCGGTGTATCCAGGGTGGGGTAATGGGGAAAGCTGCCCCTCCAACCCAACCCAACCCCTATGTATATAGTTTAAATTTTATAAGAAATTGCTTAAAATAGGAGTTAAATATAAGGAAAATTCTAAAATAGAACTAAGTGTGTTTTCGTTCCCAAATATAAGTTCTTTATGTAATTCTTTTACGTAATTTTCGTTCCCAAATATAAGTGTGTTTTCGTTCCCAAAAGTTACATAAATTCTTTTATGTAATTCTATTAAAAGAATAAAAAGATAAAAATTACCTAAATAGGAGATTAAGGGTGCATGAGTGAATTTCTTAAAATTTATTTACATTTTATTTACAATTGCATTTTTTTTAGGAGATTAGACTTTTCCCACAAGTTAAATAAAAAATATACATCCCATAACCTAAAATAAAAATCAGCTTTAAACGCCATTTAACTCTTTGGACTGTTTCCTTTTTATTTTATATTTTTCAGTTGTTCTTTTCAATATGCTCCGGATTTGCCTGTACTTTCAAAACGAGTTTCTTTGGCCCTACCCGTCAAGCTAATTGCTCTTGGCTAACGCAACAACACGTTACACGTCTTTATTATTAGAGTTTCCTGCAAGTGCCGACTGTCCTCCCTCATTTATGATTTTGTTTCTAGATTGCCGCTGAGATGAAGACCCTCTACTATCACATGCATCTGCACTGCCATTTGAAGCCGCCACATCTAATGTAACACTCTCGAGATGACCCATAACCGAAACCTTGTTAGGGTCTTGTACAACAGCCTCATGACTCGAATATCGCATAGGTGGCACAATTGCATATTTACACACAAGTGATATAAACTGATTTTATTTATACATGTTTGTGCATTTATAAACTGATCTTAGTGTAAATTTGCTTCCTCAACAACTTTTCTAGATACACCATTGTGTAGAACTGTAGAAGACTAGAAGCAGTATCAAACTGTCAATATATTTAATCAAAGTTATTTCAACTTATTTGATTAAGTTACGTGAGGCACGAGGCGAAGAGTAAATTGACCTAAAATGCCTCATGCCGTCTCACGCCTTTTAAAACTAAAAGCAGTGCAAAACTTCATACTAGGTAGTACGTACAACGGAACCAAACTTATGTCAATGTTATTTTATTCAATGAATGAATCACTTGCGTTTGTATACATTCGAATTTCTTCACGGTGTTCAGGCTTCAGATGTGTGTCCGTGGTCCGCGTGTTTTTGGCAGATGTATTTGTTGAGGAATTGAGGACGGTAAGGAATAGTTTGGAAGGGGTTGTATTCCTATGTTTTGGAAGAGGAGCCATAACTAAATAAAGTACTAAACTATACTTGCTATAAGCGGAATTCGAAGTGCAGGGAGATAATAACTTTGCGAAAAAAATAATCAGGAAGTATATATTTACATATTCTCTTCTGTATATTGGTCTGATTAATTAAGTAAATAAATAATTAATTACGAAGTAGATTTTAGTGATGTTTTTGTCCACTAGGTTTAAACTAGTAATATACATGGAATTCTTAATAATTATAATAATCAGAACAATAATATAGCATAATAATAATAGTTCTACAAACATCAAGCTAAACCATGAGGTGTTGCAAATACATAGATAGTACTCGTATATATTTACATATCCTCTTCTGTATATTGGTCTGATTACATCAACCACTTACCTAAAAATAGCCTATTCTGCTACCTTTGACAGCCCTAATACTACGTAATGCACACTATGAAGATGTAAGTATTCCCACATTTTCTGGATGGCGCTCAGGTATAGTCACGCATGCTTATACATATATGGTCAGAGTCTCACCTTAGAAAAGGAGTCCATTGCAAAATACAGCACACTGCAAAGAAAACAGAAGAAAATAACCAGCTTTTAATTGTAACTCTGTTCTTCTGCAACTACAATATTTTATTAGTGTTCAAAATAGTTGTATTGAAAGTTAATTTCTGATGCAGAAATAGATGTATTGGTCTAGATTTGAGAAGAAATGAGCATAATCTATTGAGTGAAAACCCGGTTTAGTCCCTCCATCATACATACACTGTTTCTCAATTTGGTCATCAACTTTTTTGGCACTCAAATTGTTCCTCTACTATATGCAGTTTGGACTCATATGTTTCTCATACTCCCTCCGTCCCGCTGGGCTTTCCCGACTTTACTTGTTTGTTTGCTCCAAAAACTTTGCCTATTTTCAAGCAATGAATATGTGGTTCTGCTTATTTCTCTCCCCTATGCACATATCTCAACCACACAATTCTTGATTTTCTTATTTCACACCAAACATAAAATTGGCAAAGTCCAATGGAACGGAGGTAAATATATATTTGAATCTACAGCACAGGGGTATTTTTGTGGCTTCACAAATTTAAAAAAATCAGTTCTTACTCCTCAACAATGTAATTTGTATTCAACGGACAAAAATACCCTTCGTAATTAGAGTAAAACATGCCCCCCCAGGAACAAGCTGAGTCTAAATTCATTACCAGGGCGGTAATAATAATAACAATTATGCAGGTATGCCAAACCGGAGTAGGATTAAAATGATTACTTATTTAGGAGGAGAGAAATACCTCAAGAATTGAAGGTGGTTATGCATGTGTGAACAGCAGATAGATCAAAAGTCATGAGAAGTCAACGAAAGACCATTGTCCAAGTGCCCAGATATTTTGGTCTTGCATTCTGGACACATATATCCAATAGAGTCCGACTGACTTTCTGATTCAAAAGCTTCCAAACTGAACTCTGATCTGCACCACACGCACACGGTTGTAAGCTGGTTTGTGTTGCCCCTGCTTATTAAGACTGTTGGTTCCCCTGAACCAAATCCAAGGGAGGAGGTGGTGTTAAAAGCCGCTTCCATCCCACACCCATTATGATCCTCGGAAAAATCATATTTAAATGGCTCTATATCATCAAATGTCAGCTCCTCGAAGCTCATTTCATTCTCAATCTTCAACACACAAAACTCATCCTGTTCCTGGACATGAATTATTATGAAATAAGGTCATGGCTTTAAACCAATATAGATTCTAATTTTTAGTCCAATTGTCTGTTGGCCCAAAGTTGCTGTTTGCACCAATATCTGTAAATTAATCAACCAGCTTGACAATTATTCTAAAACTATCTCCAAGAATTGTAATTGTCTATCGAATCGAATGACGTAATAAACCTCAAAATTTACCTAGTGGTTCGAAACACAGAAGAAGATGCAGTCTTTTGATCAGAGATACATATCAGGGTGATAAGTACTGTTTATATTACTACAAACGATTAGCAACGATTCCATCATTTGCAATGGAGCCAAAGACCACTATTTTTTGGCTTGGGAATATGATGGAATAAAGCAAAATGACTCACTAAACTGTCTGCGCTTCTTTGTTATGAAGTAGTAGTCAGTCCATGCAATTTTCGACGCGATTTTCACTATGGGTCATCCGGAAACAGTCTCTTTGTGCTTTAGTACAAGGGTAAGACTGCGTACATCCGACCCCCCTTACCCCACCGAAGGTGGGAGCCTTTGCGGCACTGGGGTAATGATAATGATAATGAATGATTGACAACGACATTGTATTAACAGACACATGAAAATTGAAAAGCTAGCACATAGTGGCAGTTTCTCAAAATAAGAGTGATTTGGCATTAAAGACACAGATGGAAGAGCCTCAATTACCTTATTTGCCTTATCTGTGAAGGTATGGAAGTAGTTTAATGTGTCTGAAATAGCCATGGATGAATCTGTTACCCCTTCCTGGAAAACGTTTTCCTCAAGAGTCATCTCATTGGTCTCTGGTACAGCATTACAATTATTTGCCTCACTCTGCCTGTTTCCACCAACGCGTGCATCATTCTCTGGAGGGTCACATGTTTGCATATTGCTCACCTCAGGGGGCTCACAGTAAGTTTTTGAAGCTTCAATCAAATTAACCTTAGTAACCTGTGTTTCACAAGTCTTAACAATTTCTTTAACTGCCCGCTGGTTTTCTTTATCATTCTGATTTAATTCACAGTCCAATGTTTTTTCATTATTGACATCGATCAACTCCACCTCTCTCGGATTCATTATTGGATCAATATCTTTGCCAGTATTTGCAGCTACTGCTTCATTTGAGTTTACAATAACAGGTAAGGAGTTCATGGAATTATGAGCAATTTCCTTTAATGCATCTATTTTAGGGGTTATTGAAGGAAACCCATTATGGAGGGTTAGGGTGTCAACACTTTTCTGCACATATAATCCTTCAAAACCTTTACCGTTGCTTCTCACATGGACTCCTACATGACCATTGTAACGATGCCTCTCTTCAAATACCTTGTGGCAGAACTGACATTCATACTTTCCGTCTTCTTTAATTATAACGCCCTCACTAACAGGCGGCACGACCCTAATCCTCTTTGTGGTATGCTGGTGAAACGATAACAGGTGCTCAAAATATGGACCTTTTTCCTGAAATGTCAGGTTGCAATTATAACACTCAAAGAGGTCTTTAACTTGAACATCGGGAAGATTATCAATCCCTGATAGGAAAAGTTCATTCGCAGATAGATTTGAATGGAGAACTAAGTCAAGGTTGCTAGAAACATGACCATGGAGAGAACCTACATTCTGGAAATGTCTCTATTAATGCACAAGTAGAACATTATCACTCTACAAAAGCTGCTAGAGAGCGTGGCGCTTACCTTTTCAGAGTTTGAACCAGTAAGCCGCATAATGGGTGATGGTATGTGGTCTTTGAGTTGGTTTGCATCCATCGACATAAGGTGGGAGCGCAAGAAGGCCGCTACCTCTTTGCATGACAGAAACTGTTGACCGCTAGGGCTGAAAAAATTATGAGACAAGAACACATCTAGAAATGAAGAGAAGAATAGCATATGTTCCAAGAAATTGTCAATGGCATTTCTATGCAAAGATTGGTAAAAGCCCACAACTCCAGATGCACCTATTGGAGAGTAAACTTGTTATGGTCTAAGATTAACAATATAAGCATTGCCACCTTGGACATGTTTTTGTTACTTTACTTCTTTTCAAGATGGACATGCAATTCAGTCTTCGATTGCATGTGATTATATACATTACAATGAACTTTTTTCCAGAATGATGTATGCTCTTTTATGGGGGTTGAGAGGGTTAACTTCTCAGTGCTTTTAATAAACACCTAGTCTTTGTTTGGTTAAGGTGGAATGGAAGAGAAAGAAATAGAACAAAAGTGGAGGATACTTCTGATTGGGTGAACAGAGAAATGGCAAGAGAAAAATAGGGTGGGTCTCGCCTCCTTTTTATTACTTTTCTCTTATGGGGACAAAAATCTTCCCAATTTCTACCCATTTCTTCTCTACCAAACAACAAGTAAGATTTACCCTATCCTCTCTTCTAAATATCTTTTCGCCCATTTCTCTCATATATTTCTCACCTAAACCAAATGAAGGCCTAGTGAAGCTGAAAATATTCGTTGGCCAAGGATTATTGATATTTTCTGTGAAAATTAGTAAAAAAAAAAACAGCTATAACACCATCCTTTAGGTGTATAATTAAGTTCTCAATGACCATGATTCTTCAGGAGTTATGTATAAAATTAAGTTCTCAATGCCATGAAACAAAATACCAGATTGCTTCCATAGAGATGACAATGATTTTCAAGAACCATATATCTCTTCATCTGATTAGAATATTAGTTTTGCATCCTGGTGCAAAAGTTGCAGACTTTACCAACAAAACATGACCCGTAATTTATTTACAAACACAGACTTCGAAGTTTAACAGGAAACATATATGAATACGAAGTCAAGCAAAGACAGAATAATGCATGGAACCTAAACAAACTGCATCAAGTTCATATAGTGATAAACTAAGAAAAATACCTCACGTATCTGCGACAATAAAGAGAGACATGACCATCCCTTCTTCTAAGGGCTATCAAAAGCTTCCAACCAACTGGCAAAGTGTCCCCAAAATCACTAGCATCAACGTATTTCCTTTTCATCCTCCTGCTACACCATTGCCCCTCCAAGCTCCTCACAAATCCCAAAACCTCCTCCTCGCTCTCCAGTCCAACAGTTCTACTCCTCAATTCCTCATTAAACACTACATCCCCTTTATCCTCCAATGTCTCAAAATCAACCACAACACTGTTCTTATTCACCAGCTCCAAATCACCCTCAACCCCACCCGCCCGTGACCTCTTCTTCACATAGACATCAGCCTTGGCTCCTTTTTTACTCTTCCCGTTCCCTGCATGCGCCAGAAGATCGGTCCTTTGCTCAATACTCTGGCCACACGGCTGCGTAGGGAGAGAAGACGGAGGAGGTGGCGGAGAGCTGGAATTGGGATTTTGCAAAAGGCATTTGAGGTAATGTACTACAGCGCGGTTGGCAGGGTCGGCGGAGGAAATGGGTTTGGGGCTGGAAGCGGGAGCGGAGCGGTGGGTGCGGTGGTGGTGACGGCCGAGGCGGGAGTAGGTCTGGCGCTTGCTGCCGGCGGATTTATTGAAGAGGGAGCGGTCAACTTGAGGGAGGACGAGGTCTTCGGTGCGGCGAGTATCGAAGGCGGAGCAGGAGCAGAGGGAGAGCGCGAGCAGCTCGGACTGAGTGAGCTTGTTTAGGTCGACGCGGGGAATCGCGTCCGCCAGGGACCCGCCTGAGGACGGCGTCATTATGACGGCTTTGGCGGTGGGGATTTGAAAGCGAAGGCAGAAATTACACCGGCGTAGAGGGGGTGAGCGGCGCCGGGATAGTCAGTAGCGTTGATGGGCGGTTACAGGTGGCGCATGTCTGAAAGGTAGACAGCTCAGTATCCTTCGGTTATGCTACGTTGCTCTCTATAAATAGACTTGAGAAATTGTCCGGGACTGAGATTTAATATAAATATAAATGAAACTCGATATTTATAATTCCCTAAATAAAAACAAATATTACATTTTTACCTGTGATATAATTAATTAAGATGATTAATGGTCTCTCTAATTTTCCGGCATAATCAAGGGAGTTCGTTGGAGGTGTCCAGCATCAGGCAGGCAATCTAGCGGCGGTTCAGATGCACCGCTGCAATCCGGCGGCGGCCTGGTGGCATACCTAACCATTGTAGGGATATTTTTGTCCAATCACAAAAAGACTCGTACTCCATACTTGAAGAATTTTTAACAATAACTTCATAGAATACCATCATTTGGTTATACGGGCCTCCATGAATAAGTTCATAGAGTATTCGATAAATAAACATACACAACAACATCAACATTCAATCAAATGAATGACATAAATATTCAATGTTTGATCAAGTGCCATATACGGCAAAATGTGGGTCACAAGCCCAAAATAGTTTATATCGAATCCAAATATCCATGAGTATTGTTTATTATTTTGTAAATATATGATAAGGGAAGCACAAACCACATCTTCCTCAACTCATACGTCGTTTGCTTAAATCGATGAAATCGCGGTGGACTTAGTCCTTGATTTTTCCCCAGCCACATATCCAACCCGGTATTTAGCTGTCCGTTATAACATAGAGTTCAGTATATCATTGAGTGTTGATAGTCTTACTCAGCAAACACGGTTATTACAAGTCTTAAGGAAACCAACCGATCCAAGGGTACTCCACCCCATCCGCGAGCTTTTGGACACCGCTCGGTCATGGGTACTGCACCCCTAATATCCGAGTTTAAAGACACCGTCCGGCCTAGGGCACTCCGCCCAAACCTCTGAGTTTTAAAGACACCACTCACTCCCAGGATACTCCACCCAAACCCATGATCTACCATATACTTCACCCTGCTATGATCTACATCATAAAATAAATAAAGATTAGTTCAAGTCTTAACATCTACACATAATATTCCATGCAAAATCATGCATATAGTGTACGTATAACATGAGCGGCACCCGTTCTAGCTATAACCAGCGCCGATTAACAAACCAGGACTATAATGTTTTTTATTCTTTGAATAAGAGTAATCTGTCATGTTTGAAAAAAAATGCCATTATAGTAATGCCAAACTTGGCAAAATTTTACTCATATTCAGAAAATAAAAAACATGATAGTCCTATTTTAGAATTTTAAAACGTTTTTACTCATATTTAGGAAATTCTTTCCAAAAATAATTACTCTCTCTGTATCAAATTGATTTGCAGAGTCAATATTTTTTTTCAACCGATGCTAAAGTTAAATCCTCTCTATTGATAATTAATTCCTTATAATTAAAATTTATATATTCAGAAACTACATTAATTGTTTACAAAGTTGCAAATTTCAAATTAGAATATAATTAAAATTGATATCCTAATTAAGTGAATAAAATGAAACAATTTGACAAAAACATTATTTTGCAGATCAATTTGGGACAAAGTAGTGTGATATTTATTATAAAATTGAGATAAGAAAGTTTTTTTAGCGAGGAAGAAGCTGTTTTTGGAACACATGTACCATACTATCTCCGTCCCCAAATAAGAGTCCAATTTCTTTTTTTGGCAAATAAAACAGTGTTTCACCTTCTTAAATTATGTGTAAAATGAATATGAGACATAGGGAGTATATATTTATGATAATGAAAAGATGAAAACAATTAAAATACCCCAAACCTTGAAAGGGTATGAGGTAAAAACATTCCAAACTTGCATATATAATTTAAATACCTCAAACTTTATATAAAAAGTTACTTTAGCATCATGGTCATGTATTATTTCTTTCAAAAATGTTAATTTTTTATGTTAATTTCATAATTTAAAATATTTTTGCATTCATGAAGACGATTAGCATATCTAATACTTCATTGCGAAGTTTTGGAGAGTCGGCCCTAGGGGAAACCCTAGGCGGCCATCCCCAACTTCATTCATGATCTGATTTTCAATCAGCAAAAAGTTTTGGAAGATGATGTTATTCTCTATGTAGTGAAAGATCGAATCAAAGGTTATTCAATGCTTCCACTCTTTTTTAATTTATGTTTTCAAGGATTTTTGTCCGGCTTCTTCATTGGCCGAGAATTTTGTCTGCTTCATGTGAGCGTGTGGTATGTTATTCTCCTAGCAATGTCTAGAGGCTGTATGTTTCTAATCGGTGTAATCAATCTCGTGAATTTTCGTTGTTCATGGTTGGTAAAGCTGTTTCAACCTTGTTGTTCCGATGTTTCAAATACTCGCCCATCACCTGAACCACCGCCTCGCTCTAGGAAGAAGAAGATGATCAATTGGATCTCCTTTTCGATGTCTGGTCAAACCGATGCTTCTGGGAAAATTTCTGCTTGACCGGTTTTCCTTTGTTGTTTGTTGGTCAATCCGATTCTCCCTTTCCGGGCTGGTGAAGCCGGAGCTTTTAGTTATAATTTTTATTTTCTCTTTGGAGTAGCAAGAAGGGCAGCAATGCTGTTAGACTAGACTACATTATTGTGGGGTTAGCGATATGGAAGGATTCATTGGATCTCTTCCGTTATATATCTCATCTCATTGTAGCCTTAGGCTATTCATTCTCTTGTATCTTTGCTATCGTTTAATAATAAATTAGTTATTTGATTTTCGAAAAAAATAAACACATTCTAAACTTTCATTGAAAAATAAAAAATACTACTCCTACTCTATATAATTGCATCATTTTTATTTGCTAGTTTAAATTATCCAATTAACACCTTGAATTTCTATTTTTGAAAAAAAAAACATGATTATAATGTTAAAATAACTTATTATGTAAAGTGTAAGGTATTTAATCGGAAAGTTTGGATAATTTAAATTACATATAAAAATTTGGAGTGTTTATCTCATACCACTTCAAATTTGGAGTGTTTTATTTACTTTTCCCTAAAAATAACCAGCTATTACGAATAAATAGGCCAAAATGAAGAAAAAACAATATTTTGGGGTGAGAGAGGCTCGAACTCTCGACCTCAGGATAACTCAGAAGCTATGAGACCTACGCGCTAGCCAACTGCGCCACCACCCCTTTTGTTATACTTTTAGGAAATCTGTTATTAATTCTATAAATTACTCAAGCGAATTGGGTGAACAATTAGCAAACTACGGAGTATTTATTATAAGGTCCCCACTTGCTTTAATTTTTCTTTCTTTTCCTAATTTGTTGGGTCACAAAAAGTGTTTTACTTGAATATGAGTAGGTCTGTCAATGGGTCGGGTCTAGACCCGGACCCTATCTGAATCCAGCATTTTATTTGAGGGCATGAGTCTGAATTTAGAACTGTTTCCCGGATCCGAACCCGTTAAATGATAGAAAAAATGGGTCAGATATGGTTTTTTAAGTTCCGACCCGTGATGATATAATTATAGTTATAATTTTTTTACATATACACACAATATACAGAGAAATATTTAAACATAAAATAAGGAAAATATCAAATATAAAAATGGTTTAATATTGGTAGGCTTAGTTAGTGGTTGGTCCACTATAATGAGATTTTCACTAATGAGTTATTGTTCTAGGTTCTCTATGAGATCACTGATATACATATAACATACTTCGTATATTATTGTATACTAGTAGTTCATCAGGAGTAATGTATAGAACAACATTTTGCTTATTTATATATGATTTCTTCCAACATGAACAATTTTTTGTTATATATTATATTTCTTTGCATATGTCATTTAGTTTTTTTTGCGGGTATACCCGGCCTGGATCCGAAACCCTCCGGATCCAAATCTGGAACATATGTTTAGGACCCGAAGGGTAAATGGGTCCGGATCTGAACCAAAATAATTTCAACGGATATGAATATGAAATTTATAGTTCCGACCCGTTGACAAGCGTAAATATGACCGTTACTTTTTTCTAATACTTTATTTAGACGTCAATGTATTTCTAATTTGTAATCAATTTATTGTAAGCTAGTTTAAGAGCATCTTCATCCATGTTTCTCAAATATTAGGATTTTTATGCCTTTCTCTTATCATGTCATTATTACAAAAATAAATCATGGCTTACTAATTTCCGATAAACCGTTATTTCTATTTATTTAGTTTTAATGGAGATTTTGTTATTTCCAAGGAGGTATTTAGTCATTCCAAATTAAAAGATATATGGTTGCATTAAATGTGTTTATTGAAACTTGGGAATAAACTTGAATAATATAAGATTCAATATTTGTTACCTCATTTTTAATCTAAATAATTTTTCAAACTAATCTCATCTCCTCAACCATATTCTCTACAAAAATCTTCCACATCATCAACAATGGCGGATCTAACCTCAAAATTTTGGGTGTTCAAAATTATTTTACGAGAGCAATAATATTATTTGATGGTACAATTCTACACATATATCTTTTAAAGAAAACCAGGAAATGAAGTACGGAGTACAATTATGAAATATTATAGTAGTAAAGTACAATAAATTTGTTATATCAATTTTATACATGTAATTTTGCATTTCTAATCTAAAATCTTGAGTGTTCAAATGAACACTTTAGAACATATATAGGCACGCCACTAATCATCAAGATGATCCTCAAATAATCTCACGAATGAGGATGTCCTTAAGAGAAATAAACGATTCACCCACACGAGTAAATATACTTACATAATATTAGCTCTCTTTGTACTTGGATAATTTTCATTTGATCTTATTTAGAATAAGGTAAATAAAGATAAGTCGTAGCACAACATAAGCATGGATCCGGTCCAACCCAGTTCGAAACCGTTCCAATTCTGTTTGGATCTGGACCGGGTCCATTTTCCGGTTTTGGGCCTAGGACCTACTATGTTCGGCCATGATGGTTACCCAGATTCGGTTTACAGATTTGGGGACTGAACCAAGCGGTCTTGGTTACGCTGAGCAAATCATTGTTTTTCATTTCAGCCTTGGAGCTGGCCAAAAAAAATTAATGAAGTCGGATCGGGAATTGGGACCTGCAAAGATCGGGTACTCGGAACTGGGTTGAATCCGATCTTCACTAAAATTTGGCAATTACTGGACGGTCTTGGTCTGGAATCGAGACCGGGCCGACCCGGGGGCGGGTTCATGCCCAACATAATACACCATATTTCCTTGCAAAAAATAATAATAATACACCAGATTTATCATGTATCCTACTAGTCCTACTACTATTATTCTATAGTTGGGAAAATGAGTTCCCAAATGGAGCAATCAAATTATTTGTACGCACATAATAATTACCTTAACTCAAACACATGATGAGAAAACAATGAGACATTGTACAAACTGTTGAATGTTGTCTTATTTGAAAAGGTACTAACCATTTAGATAATAAGGAGTACATTTTATCTAAATTTAATAAATTTGTTATATCAATTCCTGAATGTTGTCTTATTTGAAAAGGTACTAACCATTTATTTTAATTCGGTACATTTAGATAATAACCATTTAGAAATATTGTTTACCGAGTTACCACACCTTTTTTTATCAAACACGTAATTTTTGATTTGACGCGGTGAATTGTTTAATAATATGAGAAAATATAGTTAAGGTTACTTATCTGACTGAATTTACTATAGAAGATCATTTTAGTTGTTTCTTCATATGATTGTTTTCTATATATTATTAATATAATATATTTAAATTTAATTTTTTTCATAAATCAGCATAATCAGCTAATCTCATCACTTCAACCAGAATTTCATAAATTTTAGCATAATCAGCCAACACAGTCGATTTGGTATTACCAAGCGGGCTCTTAGTATGAGACGATTTTAATGAGATGGATTAAAAGGACACGATGAGACAATTTTAGCATGACATAGAGAGTAACATTTAGAAAATAAGCATACTACATCCCGTGCATCGCATGAGTGAGTTGTTAGTAATTCGAGTAAATTCAACTTGAATTTACTACAGCCAAAAAAATTACGATTTAAACAGTTTCGATTTAAATACAGCCTAAAAAGAGTTTTTTGGAACAAAGCGACTTATATTGATAATAAAACATTCAGCAAAAGAGACAAAGAGAGCATTTCTAGCCACAGCCTAAAAAATAGTTATCAAATTAAAATCGAATAGATGAATATCCAACTCGATTCATTTTATCATTTAAAACCCTATGCATTGCGTAGAAGCGTTATACTTCGTAAAAAACAACAAAGAAGTGTGTAAAACACATAAACTAAAAATGAGAATTTCTCCTTGAGAATTATTAATTAAATATACTGAAAGGGGGAGGTGTCTTTTTTCTTAAGAATAGGTAATGGCGTGTGAAAAATGCCAAAGGGAGGTGCCTTTTTTTTACTGGAGGTGTCTTTTTTTAAAAAGCAAGTAATATCGTTTGTCAAAAAAGAAGAAATAATACGGAGTAATATCACATGTTCGAGAATTGCAGGAAGGTCCAATCTTACTGCCAATTAAAATAAAAGTTGAAAAAAGAATTGGGGTGAGAGAGGCTCGAACTCTCGACCTCAGGATAACTCAGAAGCTATGAGACCTACGCGCTAGCCAACTGCGCCACCACCCCGTTTAATAGCAAATCTAGATTCTGTGTATAAGTAGCTAAACGTCAGCGCCAATATCTATAAAGTTGCACCTTGCTACTCTCGGAATCTCGGATGATCGCCAACTGCTAAGGGTCTGTTTGCAACAGTTTCTGTTTTTAAAAAAATGTTTTTTTTAATGAAATGGGGAGAAGTGATTAAATAAAAGTTGATAGTGTTTGAGAAAAAAGTGATTTCGAAAAGTAAAAGTGGGTAGTGTTTGGTAAAATAAGTGCTTTTTGTGTAATAGAAAAAGTAAAATCATTTTTGACGCGGAAGCCGAGAAAAATAAAAGTTGTAGTGTTTGAAAAAATAAGTGTTTTTTTAAAGCCAAAAGCTGAGAAGTGTTTTTTTAAAAGCAGTTGCAAACTAACCCTAAGTTGTACATTTTAGGGAGTATTTGTTATCCAATTAAGTACATATTGATTGCTTCTTATTATTGATTCGTGAAAATTCTTTCTTTTGAAAAATGTCTCATTTTTTATTTTCAATTTAAATTTTAATTATTTACTAGTAGTCAATTAAATATATTAATGAGTAAGATTGTTTGTTGGCAAACACGTCACTGAAAGTATTGTAATTAATTAGAGATTTTTTACGTCAATATTAGCAACAAAGTTTGAGTTTACAAAACAATGACTAACTACCCATGTCATGTATGGAAGCATGGGAGTTATTGTAGGGAAATCACTGGTTATTTTAACTGTTAGTCATATATTTGTTAGAGAAATTTAAGGTAGTAATATTTGAGTAATTTTTTCAATTAAAAAAGAACGGAGAATGTTAGAATGACTTCTTTATTCGACGAACTCTGACATTTCTCCTAGCTACGTCACTGCAATTGAACATTTCCAATAAAAATGTTGATTGCAGATATGTCAAGAATGAAAACTTTTAAAGGACGCAAAACATGAGTAACTATATGGAATACATCAAAGTGCTCACCATAGAGCACATTAGTATGATAAACGGTGAGGATCTATTTATCTAAAGTATTTCGAGAATCATGGCATTAATCGCACCAATGTCCTCCGTACTGAGCACGTTGGCATGTTGCACATATTTTTTCAGCACATAACATACCTAATAGCGTAGATTCAATAAAGCTCATAGGTTAAGTATTGACGTTAAGTGTTTTTATTTGCATCTTGTGATTGTTTTCATGCCAAAATAATATGATAGTAGAAGATATACTCCAAAGTTTCTAATCATTGAGTACTTGTGCAATGTACAAAAATAATAGAAGATATACCCCAGAGTTTTACTACTGCAGCCCCCATTGTTGAAACTGATAGAATAAAATAATATTTTAAATAGTGTAACATTATTTGTTACATATATTTACGTAGACTCCACTTATAGCCCTGAATTATCTTTCTATGTACTCATCTAAATTCCAGTACGTAGTACTTATCACATAGCATAATTATAGGGAGGTTACAACCATCCATACATATCCATACATACAACCATCATGTATATATATTACGACTGCACAATTGTTAATATACATTAGTTTTAATCTCAATTCTTTATGGTATCAGAGCTTCAATCTACTCCGATTGAAATTCTCGATTCTTAATTCATCCCATCATGCCTTCTTCAACCTCCACCAATATTGCTCCCATGACTAATGAAAACCTCACCCAACTCATTTCTCTTAATGCCTCTTCTCAAATCCCTATCAAACTATCCAAAGATGGAAGTAACTACTCCTCCTGGAAATCACAAATCACCAACCTTTTATTCGGTTATGGTTTGCTCGACTATGTTACTGGAAAAAAGGCATGTCCGGCTGACAACACTGATCCAAACTATGAATTTTGGACCCGTCAAGACAGACTCATTCTTTTAGCCATCCAGTCAACGGTTGCAATCACCATAAGCCCAATCATCAACAGTTGCTCTTCTTCTGCCGATGCTTGGAAAAAACTAGAAACTAGTTTTGCTAGTTCTTCCACTACTCGGATGTTGTCACTTCTCTCCTCCCTGATGACAACAAAGAAAACCGGCAAAAGTGTTACCGAGTATTTGGGTGTTATGAAAACATTTATTGATGACCTTGCCACCATTGGTCACCCCCAAAGCACCGGTCAAATAGCATCATATATTCTCGGCGGACTTGCCGGCGAATTCAAGGACTTGGTTGGTGCTATTCGTATTCTCCCTACTCCTCCAACATTTGAACAACTACAAGACTTCCTTCGTGAAGCCGAAACTTTAGCCGGAGAGTCCTCTTCAGCATTTGACGTCCCTATTACGGCCCAATTCACTCAGCGACGCAGTGGACCTCGTGGACGTGGAGGACGTGGACGAGGAGGTCGATCTGCTGACGTCTCTCCAACCTATAATCAAAATAACAGTGCTCATCAATTTGGATTTGGTCAAAACTCCAATTCTGGTCACAATTATAATTTTGGTCACAATCCTTTTGGTGGCCAAAATTCTCGCAAGTCTGTTATGTGTCAATTATGTGACAAACCAGGACACTCTGCAAAAACTTGTTACATTCGTAACTCCATCCATCCTACTGCCAACCTTGCCAATGGAGGAGGTGATGCCTTTTCTAATAATAATAATTGGCTTCTTGATACAGGCGCAACACATCATATCACGTCTGATCTCAACAATCTGCATGTTCACTCCGATTATATTGGTGATGACTCTGTGGCAATGGGTGACGGTAAGCAAATACCAATATCTCATATTGGTACATCCCATGTTTCTTCTCCTTGTTCAAAATTTACACTCAATAATGTTCTTTGTGCTCCTCATATCCGCCATAACCTTATCTCAGTCAAACAATTTTGTCTCCAAAATAATGTTTCTGTTGAATTCTCACCCAATTTTTTTGTTGTGAAGGACCTAACAACCGGGGTATCCTTGGCCCGCGGCCGGAGTAATAATAATCTTTACACATGGTCATCCTCTCCCAAGGCTCTGAACGCAACATCTCAACTCTGGCATCAACGCCTTGGTCATCCATCTTCTTCCACACAACATCTAATAAAACCCAGTCAAACAAAAGTTTCACCATGTGATGCGTGTCTTCAAGCCAAAAGTCACAAACTTCCGTTTTCTACTTCTTCAATAAAATGTACTCATGCATTTGAATTTATTTATTCTGATGTATGGGGTCCATCCCCAGTTTCAACATTTAATAATACTCGTTATTATGTTATTTTTGTGGATTACTACACCAAATATACTTGGTTGTTTCCATTAAAAAGCAAATCCGATGTATCTCTTGTCTTTGAAAAATTTTGTGCTTTAATTAATAATTATTTTAGCACCAAAATTAAAACCTTATATACTGATGGTGGGGGTGAATTTATTGCCTTAACTCCACAGCTCAATAAGTATGGCATTCAACATCTTATTTCTCCTCCATATACACCCGAGCATGTTGGTTCTGCTGAACGAAAACATCGACACATCACAGAAACTGCTCTTGCCTTACTTTTTCAGTCCTCTGTTCCTTTGTATTTCTGGCCATATGCTTTTCAATATGCGGTGTATCTCATTAATCGTCTACCCACTCCCACACTAAATAATTCCAACCCTTATTTTCAATTATTCCATGAACAGCCAAATCATGACTCTCTCAAGGTTTTTGGTTGTTTATGTTATCCCTGGCTCCGACCCTATACTAAACACAAATTAGAGCCTCGGTCACGTGCATGTGTGTACCTTGGTTTTTCTACCTCTCACCACGCCCACTTATGTCTTGATTGGCGTCATAAACGAGTATACACATCTCGCCATGTCATTTTTCTTGAACAATCTTTTCCATATAAATCTTATCCATCTCCCATGCATACGTTCCATGCCCAACAACCAACCCCACCACCCTTAAATCTCCTTCAATTATTCCGTAAACCAACAAACTCCAATCCTATCCATAATACAGCTCACCCTACACCTCCTGCTCATATATCCTCTTCCACACACACACCTCCCCATGTTCTTATTCCCGCACCGCCTCCAACATATACTGCTAATAATTCTCAAACCCCACACCAACCAACATCCTCCAATCATCAAATACCTCCTAATAATTCTCCTGCCTCTGGTCAATCCGAACAACAACCACACCCCTCCTCTCGTCCCTCACCTCCTATTACTAGATCCAAACATCAAATCTTCAAACCCAACCCAAAATATGCCCTTTTATCTAATAAATCTCCTACTGCACCTTCCACTTATAAACAAGCCGTCTCCCTTCCCGAATGGCGTCTTGCTATGTCTGAGGAATTCCGAGCCCTTCAAAATAACAAAACATGGTCCCTCGTTCCTTCCCATCCCTCTCAAAATATTATTGGGTGTAAATGGGTCTACCGGGTTAAGCAACATCCGGATGGCTCCGTGGCTCGTTACAAAGCACGTCTCGTAGCTAAAGGTTTTCATCAACGACCTGGTGTTGATTTTAATGATACCTTTAGTCCGGTCGTTAAGCCGGCCACCGTCCGCACCGTTCTAACCATTGCTACTACTCAAGGTTGGTCTATCCGCCAACTCGACGTCAATAATGCTTTTTTGCAGGGTACTCTTACCGATACGGTTTATATGCAACAACCACCTGGCTTCATTGACAAATCACATCCTACTCATGTCTGCCTTCTCCGCAAGGCTCTATACGGACTTCGTCAAGCACCCCGGGCTTGGTACTGTGAACTCCGCTCTTATTTATTACATTTTGGATTCATCAATAGCAAGAGTGATGCCTCCCTCTTTGTATATCATTCTGCCGGCTGTCTTATGTATCTTCTCATCTACGTTGACGACATAATCGTCACTGGCAACACCAACTCCATCATCACTACTTTTCTCCAAGATATTTCTCGCCGGTTCTCTCTTAAGGACTTGGGCTCATTGTCCTACTTTCTGGGTTTAGAGGCTTCTCAAACATCTACTGGATTGTTTCTCACTCAATCTAAATACATCCGTGACTTGCTCACTCGCCATAACATGCAGGATGCTAGCCCTACGCCAACACCGGTTTCTCCTTCTGATCATCTTACTCTTTATGATGGATCTTCACATTGTGATGCTACTGCCTATCGTAGTGCCCTTGGAGCTCTTCAATACCTCGCTTTTACAAGACCGGATATCAGCTTTATTGTTAACAAGTTAGCTCAGTTCATGCACTGTCCCACTTACAAACATTGGCAAGCTCTCAAACGGGTACTACGTTATTTAAAGGGAACACTTCATCATGGCATTTTCATATCTGCAGATACTCTTCTTACTCTTCATGCATTTGCTGATGCGGATTGGGCCGGTGACCGTGACACTCGCCACTCTACCTCTGCTTACATTGTCTTCCTTGGTCGCAATCCTTTAAGCTGGAGCTCCAAGAAACAAAATACAGTGGCACGGTCCTCCACAGAAGCGGAATACCGGGCCATTGCCTCTGCTACAGCTGAGGTCAACTGGCTTGTCAACCTTCTCCGTGAACTACATCTTTCTCTTCCTCATATACCCACCATATTATGTGATAACATCAGTGCTACATACGTTTGTGCTAACCCTGTACTTCACTCACGTATGAAACACGTTGCCATCGATTTTCACTTTGTTCGTGAACAAGTCGCTCGCCGCCAACTTCGGGTCTCACACGTCTCCACTCACGATCAACTTGCCGACTCCCTAACCAAAGCGGTTGCTCGAACTCAATTTCTTTCTCACCGGACCAAGCTCGGAATCCTTCCAGGTCCTCCTCACTTGCGGGGGCATGATAGAATAAAATAATATTTTAAATAGTGTAACATTATTTGTTACATATATTTACGTAGACTCCACTTATAGCCCTGAATTATCTTTCTATGTACTCATCTAAATTCCAGTACGTAGTACTTATCACATAGCATAATTATAGGGAGGTTACAACCATCCATACATATCCATACATACAACCATCATGTATATATATTACGACTGCACAATTGTTAATATACATTAGTTTTAATCTCAATTCTTTAGAAACAATAGCTGCTACAAATGCTTGTGCCCCGTGTTTTACCTGTGATGATCTAACCGTTTCAAGCATTGGTACCCCTAGTGCTATTGAAATTGTTGCTCCTATTGAAAGGGATGTCATTGATCATTCTGCAATTTTAGATGATCACAATTGTGCCCCGTTTGTTACCGTTTTGGATGCATCTGGTGATGACAATGCTATTGATGTCCCTGTTAACAAGCAGATTTTTGATGCCTCTCATGAGACCCAGGTTATTGAAGCCCAGATTTCTAAGGACTCTGGTGCTCTTGCGAATACTAAGGCTCCTACTGATTTGGTGGCCACTGTCCCTAAGGATGGCTCCTCATATTGTGCTGAACCAGTTACAGAATGCTCGGTTAAATCCATAGTGGGCCTGGTGGCCACCTGTAAAAAGGCGGTAACCATGACGGAATTTAATCCCACTTTATGTGAAGCTCCAACCAGAAATGAAGAAATTAACTCTGATCCACCGTATGATACTACACTTGATCCATGCACATCCAATGATGATAACTTATCTGAAGACAACACAACTATACCTATACGCTAAATATGCCAACAAGGATGAATGATGACTTTGCGCAGGTGAATAGGCGGAAAAAAAAGAGATAATTATCCCATATATGACTAAAACTCTTCCAATTTCTCAATCTAGTTTTTTCCCCAAAATAATATTTAAATTTGTAATAATTAATTAATTTTGTGATTAATAAATAAATAATTAATTTTTATGGACTAAAATACCCTTTAGGTCATGTCTATAAAAACCTAACCTCCTATGCCTTTTCTCAAACCCTAGCCTCTAGCTTCCAATGTCTGCCGCACAGCCGCCTACTGTTGCCATCCCGCCACACGGCCATCTGCCGCTGCCTCCCCATCTGCTGCCGCCGCCCCGCCTGCCGCCCAGCCGTACAACCAAGGTTATGAGATCCTCCAGCGATGTTGAAATCTGGCATGACGCGAAGACGAGTTTGCAACTCCTGGCGGCTCTAGATTTTTCCTCTGCGATAAGTATCCCTGTAATATTCAAATAGGTGACAATTTCTTCGTCGGCATTTTATTCTCACAGCTGGAATCATATCTTCCGTGTTGCAATTCGCATTCTGTACTCCCTCTTTATTTATACGTAGTATATATATTTGTATATATGTATACAAATTCGTAGGTTTGTCAACCATAAATGATAAATGGGTGCATTATTATTATTGTTAAATTTTATTCTTATTGTTTCTAAATTCAAATAGTATAGAAATACTCAGATTCTTCAGCCATGGGCAACAAGGTTGAAGGTAAATCCAAAGTTGAAGACGAACCCTAGGTTAAAGATGAAGTGTTGTGAATTGTAGGACAATGAGTGCACGCTATGAATAATTTGCATTAATGCAGAGAATATGACAAGATGTGCACTGATTATGACAAGAAGGGCCATGACAACAAGTGCATTAAATATGAGCATTGAATATCAGCTATGAACATTTCAACAAGTGTTATGAGCAGTGAATATATATAGTAATAGACATGTCATACATGGCAGTGAATGAATGCATTAAAAATTTAGTAGTGCAGTGATTATGACCAATATTGTAGTAACACAAAACAATAATATCATCATGAAATGCAATATACTTAATTCAATGTAAAATAATAAAATTATTAAATCTAAAAAACAAAAAATAAAAGCTAAAAATAAATTGCTCAAATAAATGAGAAGAGAATTAATTTTGACGGAAGTGCAGTGATTATTACCAGATGTGCAGTAAAGTCGTGCATTAATGTCGTGCATTAATGGCAATATAAAATGCAGTAATTTTAATTGGACGAAATTAGTGCAAAATGCACATATTTTAAATAAGGGTATTTTTGTCATTCAACCTTTAAATACAAACGAGATTTCTTTTTTTTTTGGATTTTTGGTCATAGATAAGTCTAAAAACTAGTTAGGTCATAGATTGAGAAACTCGTTGAGTTTTAGTCATATTCTAGTAAATTTCCCAAAAAAAAAAAGCCCTGTTCGAACCCGTGACACAAATCTTAGAGCTCCATTATTTTACGAGGTGGGGTGGACCTCACCCCTAATGGTCACAAGAAGCCGCTCATGTCACCCACAAAGTGACTCAGACTTCTATCTGTACTCGATTGGCACGAGGTTTGACTCCCCTCATAAGCTGGTTGAAGCGCTAAAACGTTACAATTTAACACACCCGGAGGCCGAAATATACCAACCATATCTGCAGAAGGCGATCAAATTTCACAACAAATACAACAAGGCTCTCTCCGCTTCAAAGGGGATCCCCACACAAAATTTCAATTGTTAAACTCTTTGTACTTGGTACTTCATTTATTTTTGGCTTGCTTTTCGTTTATTTCATTTATTTCTCTTGTATTCAAACTTTATTAATAAAATTGGGAAGTGTTCCCCGACACTCCCCCACCACGTGTGGTTTCTCCGGGTAAAAAAAAAACTCGAGTATAAACGAATAAGTATATCCTTTGTTTTCTTATAAGAATGTTTTTAATTGGACTGAGAATTTCTGGTCTAATTTGATCTGGGATGATAAATGCCTTGTCTCCGTGTAATTTATAACTATACAAGTCTGATTAGGTCTGATCTAATCTGATCTAGTATGAACGCAGACCAAATAAAAACATCTTAACTCATATTAAAGTCAAATGTACTCTACAGTCTACAATTTGAGATACAAGGAGCTCATTTAAATGAAGTTTTTGTGAATCCGTTAAGTTGAAGATGGATGGCTTTGTTTCTACTCTTTTTGTGAGCTTTACACAACTGTAAGCACATTCGCAAGGGTGGGGTCGTGTTTCAGTGTTGGATACCTCTATTACTTCTTACCCCTTTCAACTCTCCATGTTCCAGTTTTTAAACTTGAGTATCATTTTCCTTCAAAAAAAAAACTTGAGTATCGTTTTAGTAAATTATACATATTTATTGGGGGGTAGCACTATATATATCACTTCCAACACAGCTCTACATTAAAAACCTAACGTTAAAGTTGTCTCAAACTGAAGAAACCTTCACGGTGCAGAGCGATCATAGCACATCCCCTCCCTCAATCTCAGAGCTTGAAGTGGGGTCCCAGCCTCCTTTTCCGGAGGCGATCGGCAATGACAAAGGCAAGCTCAAGAGATTGAGATGCATTTAGTCTGGGATCGCAGTGTGTGTGATAGCGTGAGCTAAGGTCGTTATAGGTAATTGTTCTAGAACCTCCTACGCACTCCGTCACATTCTGGCCTGTCATCTCCAGATGCACTCCCCCCGGAAAGCTCCCTTCTTGATCATGAACATCAAAGAATGCCCTTAGCTCAGCCTACATCAAACAAGCACACTAACCATCATGGATTCATGGTGATGAGTCAATGACAACATTAAAAATCGACAAAGCAGGCAACACCATCCAAGATCATGTAACTTTAAGTGCCAGTTTGTTAGACGAAGTTTTGTGCTCAACGACATATGTAGCAAGGATTCTACTTCCAACAATAGGACTTGTTTGGCTCGAGAATTTAGTAGTACTTGTAACTGGTTGGAAACATGTTCACTTTTAAAAGTCCTGTCTGGTAAAACGAAGCTAGTTTTCACCATGTTAATTAGTATGTAAAATTAAGTTAATAATCAAAAGAGTTTAAAAAATATAGCAAGAGTTGATGATTTGGTGATCCCCAATAGTACCTTGGGGGAATATGAATCATTTTGGATGGACAAAATGAAAAAAAGACACATTTACCCTTATTTTCAGATAATATTTTTTAGTTGATTTGAAAATATATTAAATGCTTTTTATGAGATTGTATTCTTATAAAATGAGATAAAAACTACAAAAGAATAAAATCAAATACGTAAACAAAGCATAGAGATGAGTATCATACCCTGATTGCATCAAATGATCGGGTTTTGAGTCCACAAGGAGCTTTAGTTGTATTGCCATGCATGGGATCACTGACCCAAGTCACGATTTGATCTGCGCTGCGAACAGCTCTAATCAGATGAGGCAATTTCACTCTCATGTTATCAGCACCCATTCTGGCTATTACTGTTATTCTCCCGGGTTTGTTTTTGGGGTTCAGAATGTCTATAAGCTTTACCAGCTCACTGGGATCCATTTTCTGACTCACCTGACCCAAAAGACCTTGTGTGTCAAGTACATGAACTTTGTTTTTCCATTTGATTCGAACAGCAGGCTAAATTCTAAAAGAACTCTTTTTGGAAGTTTAGGACGTTCTGACTTGGACTTTTTTCAGTCCCAGACCAGACAATTACCAAACCAATTCAGACCGGACTAGACCATAAAATTCAAGTCCAATTAAAAACATCCTTAGACCTATGACTTTATAAATGTCAAGAATTTAGCCCTGAAGCCACCAAAAATAACAAATACATAGTATTTGTCAATATGGTACTATTCAAATTGAGGATATGGTGAATTGGTGATAATTTGGTAGCAAAACAAATTTATTAAACTTAAAATGACAAAAATGCATTTTAAATAATAAAATATAAAAAGAATAGACATTGGCATTATAAAAATGAAAGTTGCACTTTCTATAGATTGATAATAAAAATTACAATAGCGCCAATACATCGTATCCTCAATTGGAGCTGTACTTTTCTGACAGATTTTTCATTTCTAGTGAGTTTAGGCCTGAGGTCTCAACACTTTGAAAGCAGTGGGTCTAAATTGCCGAAAAGGGCATGCAATGGGACAAGTTTTGCCAACTCAGTATAATTATGAGATGGAAAAACTTTTCTACCTTCACAACAACATACTAGAAAGCCCCCAGCATCTAATATACATTATATACCTTAATTCTAAGTGGATTAGCAACTCCTCTCAGGAACTCTACATGTGCACCATCCAATTGCCTTGTTCGCTCCCCGACCCAAAGCATGTGGGCAGAGCAGTCATAATAAAGGCCAGATGTAGAATCTTCCCTTGTAAGGGCTTGCTCATAAGGCAAGAGTAGGCACTCGTGGGATGTCCAGAAGTCTGTTGTGGTCATTATTGGATGGTCAATGGTAAGCCCAGCTGCTGTCATGAATCCCATTGCTTCATCCACTCGGTGTGCAAGTTCACGATACCTTTTGACAATGATCAAATAAATACTTGTCTTATCCAAAGAAAAAATATGGAAACATTTCAGGTCGGCTTGGAACTCTGATAAAAATAACATGGAAGGAAAATTGGAAGGAAAATTGGGAAGGAGAGAAAAAAGAGGAAAATAAAAGATTCGTTTAACTCGATAAATTTATTTTAGATATTTGTTAAAACTCATTCTATTTATTTATTTCTACTAAATAAAGTCAAATATAACTGTTTGGTAAAGTTCATTGGCAGAATCTGCTGAACTTCCTGAAAAAAAGTTAGGTAAAACCCTTTCAGCCAAATACGTGTTAGAAACTGTTTATTTTTATTATTCTTCAGATAAGCAGAAAAGGCATAGTAAGCCAGCTTGGCTACCAAACAGAAAAAGCATGTAATATGTTCAATGTTATTATTCTTCAGATACGCAGAAAAAGGCATAGTATACAAAATGCAAGAAGACTTCTTACATTGTATATGATATAAACAAAAGTAGAAATCTCACATTGCCAACAAAGATAGAACGAGCATCCACTTCTTCCTTATCAGTCTGGTCAGCAGCATCGGTTTCAGGGTCTGGTTGTAAAATCAAATGTCAATGAACTAATAAACTAAACAAACACCGTGCAATACCACCACTTCTTCCGTGAGCACGCCGTGTAAGCACATAATCCTTTAACAAATCAACTTTTTGCTTAAATTGAGGATGATATGAAGAAGAAGTAGACTAGAAGAAACTATCAACCCTAGAAATCGAGAGGGAAAAGTAAAAAATAAACCTTGCACGGCACCCATTTCGTTCTCGACTTTCTTTTTGTAAATAAGTTCGCTCTCGACTTTGGCCTGCAATTCGCGGAGAGCCGCCTGCTCTTCTTCCATCTCCTTCAACCTCATCTTTATTTTATTTAGTTCCTGAGCCGCCTGCTCGTCTTCCATCTCCTTCAACCTCCTCTTTATTTTATTTAGTTCCTGTATAAAAACGCCAGTAAACATGTATCCCGGAGTTAGGGTACGACCGAACCAGAAACTTCAGGGATGTAGTAGCGTTGGAGAAGAAGAGATCAAGAAGAGCGAAAGAAACCACGGCTGGTCCATTGGTAACCACAGACATCTCCCCGTAATCCGCCTCCATCCATTTTTCCGCCATTGGAAACTGCCATTTGGAGTCTTGGGCAGCCATGAATACTCGACACCAGTTTATTTGCCTTAGCTTCGTCAGGACCGCTCGGATCAGAGCCTCTGCCCGGCTTTAAAGCCCTGCTTGGTTCAAAGGAAGGAAAGGAAAGGAAAGGAAAGGGAAAGATGGAGGTAGAGGTGGGAACTGGGAAGTAAAAGCAAGCATTTTGTCAGATGTTTGTGTCTTGGTTTAAGAAACCAGACGAAGCTAGTACCGGGTCAGGGGTCAAATTAACCGGTCAAAGTCTATAAAACCGGTTAACAATCTACTCGTATATATCTAGCAGAGTACGCACTACGTGGGAATGGTGCCTAATATTACTCCTGGACTTGGGCCGGGTGGCCCGACCCGGAACCGGCCTGTGACCGGTACTATACTGAACCAGCCCGGCTCGGTCAGTGACGGGTCTGGATAGGCCCGGCCCGGGGGTTTCCGGTGCGGGCTCGGGTCACCCAAAAAACGAACCGGCCTGGCCGGTTCCGGACTTTAATTTTTTTTTTCAATTTTTTTTAACTTTTCGAGTTGGGCTGGGTATTTTGGGCCATTTGGGGGTGATTTGGAGGGTTGGGGGTGGGGGGAGGTTAATTAGGAAAAAGGGATAAAAATATTGACCCGAGGCCCGGACCGGACTCGGTGGCTACCCGGGGCCGGTCCCGTACCCACCTATTCAGAACCGGCGGCTCGTCCGGGCCTAGGCTCGGCCCCGAATCCAGCCCTGCCTAATATTTGCATATCCTCTCACCAATCTTTTGTATGTTTAATCTTCAATTGAAATTATATTAGCTATCTAAATCTACATTGTCTCTTTATGGACAATAACTTTGAAAAATTCCATGTAACTGTTTCATTTTCATTTAATAGTTCCACAACTACCGTTATTTGAATTTTGATATTGATATGGCAAGTTGCATTTGGATAGACTTCTTTAATGAAAAGGTGGTTCTATATATATAAAGCGTGTTTTATTTGTCTTCAGTATATGCTTAATTATTTTTTTTATTTTAGTTCTTTAACAGGAATTCAGATAAATGGAAGTTATTTATCTTCAAACTTCACAAAAGCAGCAACAATAGAGTGAAAAAATTGTCGATTGCCATTATGAGAATTCTTTTAAAATAGTGGGTTACATTTATATTTGAAGTAACAACCACCATAAAAATTTAGATTGTCATGATTCGCATAAACTAATAGTTGAGAAATTGCCCTAAAAAGATTATTCAAAATAGAGGTGATATGTTTTTCTTCAATAAATATGAGTCATTACAGCCATATGATTGAAATATATTGTCATTAATGATAGTAAATAGTGTCATGTCAATGTCATTGTCATGTATAACAACTATTTTTTGCTAGGAAAAGGAATTTTATTGATAGAATAATTCAGAATTATAATCATGTTTCACCAAATGTATTACAAGTATTTTGATAGAAATGATTCCAATATAGCACTAAAGACTGTCTTGTTGCTCCTATTTTAAGAAGGAATACATGTATAATAATCTTATTTTGGAATTTCGAAATATGTTTATTCCTATTTTCATAACTTTCCCTTAAGAGAAAATCAGTTCATCGTCACCAATTCTTTTAACGTAAGGAGAATTTAAGGAAATAAATTGAGTAGAAAAAGGGCACAATTTATGAGGTCATATATGTCATAAAAGTATAACAAAAGCATAATACTAAGAACTTGTATTTTGGAGCATAATCACATTTCTGTACTGGCAATAATCTTTATTAGTCTTAGGATGTTTTTACTTGGACTGACTTTTGCTGGTCTGATTTGATCTGTTTAATACTGAACATAATGTAAATATCAAGAGTAATATTCAAAATACGAACAATTCAAATACTTTATGAATACAAATTTTGTATGGAAAGAATTTGTTTAATTTACGATACAATTTAATATGTAGATATATTTTAGTAACATTACAATTGAAAAGTACTTGTATGGTACTCCTCTACTATAGTGTCCCTAAGAGCAATTTGTGTAAATGAAATGTAAGTGTATAATACTCTTTTACTATAGTGTTAGCTTGTTAGGTACAACTTGAGTAATTGAAAACTAAAATACGGAGTATTAAGTAGTTTCTTTTATTTTTGAAAATAAATGGAGTCCCAAGAACATAAATGCAGCCACTAATACTCTTTTAGTGATATTTGGTTGTGGTCCAGCATTCCTGTCAATGTGCACCTAGAATTTTCTTGACAAATATCCTTCCTTTTCAGCCTGCTTTAGGTTCAAGAGGGCACCTCTCCTCGCACTGTACCTATCCTCATCCTGATATGGTAATCCGGATAAAAATAACACATGAGAAGTTTATCTCAGAGAGAATTAGTATTAAGAGGAATAGCTATCCAGCAGCAGGGGCGGATCTAGAGATCATAGTTATTGGGGTCACTGTTCTTACTAAGGATATTTTTAGTGAGACTGTTCTAGTTTCAAAGTAGATCAGATTTTGACAATTGTAAAATATGCATAGAACATACATCTACTCGATCAAACTAGTTTAGATTAGATCAGATTAGACCAACCAAATCAGATTAGAACAAACATCCATGCCAGTTCACATCATGTCAAACTCAAAGAAATCATACTATATAACATAGAAAACTACACTCTTATTAAGAGCATCCTCACTACAAGTCATATATAAGATTGAACCAACAATATATACATTTATTTTAGGGAAAATGGAAACTAATAATCCAACCTTTTAGCGGTCTTCTTTCAATAATCCCACCTTTTGATTATTCATGAATAATCCAACCTTTGCACCTCATCTTCATTCATTGGTCCCTGGTCGGTTAATGACCTACTATTCCAAGTTATTTTCTTATCTTTGCAAAATATTATCTTTGTGAAAGATTAGATTTATGGTATAATGATTTGCAAAGATAAGAAAATAGCTTGGAATAGCAGGTCATCAACCAGTCAGGGACCAGTGAATGAAGATGAGATGCAAAGGTTGGATTATTCATGAATAACCAAAAGGTTGGATTATTGTAAGAAGACCGCTATAAGGTTGGATTATTAGTTTCGATTTCCCCTTTATTTTAAAAGATGCAATTTATGTACTTCGTATAACATTATTCAAATACGAAACCTCACGTAGTCCATCATTCCAATTTCGACCAATGTGATTTTTGAAGAAAAAAATAGTTGACTATAAAGAGAAAATATACAAATAAGTTACGGAGTAATAAACTATCATTGAAATATGAAAATTAATTATAGACTAAGAAAGATGTATATATATACAAACTAAATATTCGACATTCTATTTACTTGAAATCCAACGTGACAACTTTTTTTAAATCATACTCTCCAAACTAGGTTTACCAATATCACTAAACAAATCAATAAAAAACTCTCAAAAATCATGCAGTATAGATGATATACATGCTTGCTTTTCCGATCCGCCGCTTTTGCATTTCAAATATATTTTGAAGTATTCATTGGGGGCATTGTTATATTTTTATTGGGGGCATTGATCAATAACAGATTAAAAGTACAGAAAATTAATGTAAAAGCACAAATGTTATTGGGGGCATGTGCCCCCATTGCCTATGCCTTGCATCCGCCCCTGTCCAGCAGAAAGTTGGGTGTTTTAGAATATTGCAAAAAAAAAACCTCCATCCATTTTTTGTATGACTAAAATCTTTACTTTTAGGGAAAACTGTCAAATAGGTCCTCGAACTTTCATAAAGAAGTCAATTAAGTCGTTCTATAGGAGACTCTGTCTGGTCGTCGCGAATTGGGGCGGTTCCCGGTGTATTTTTTTGATGAAATTTTTTGAGCATCTTATTCATCAAGTCTAGTTTACTCATACCAAATTTCAGCTAAAAATTTAATCGGGAGCGCATTCAAATTAATTCGAGAACGCAAAAATGCGTAGTTATCTTCAAAAATTTATTTGAATGTGTTCCCGATTGAATTTTTAGCTGCAATTTGGTATGAGTAAACTAGACTTGGTGAATAAGATGCTCAAAAAATTTCATCAAGAAATTCCACTGGGAACTGCCCCAAATCGCGACAGCCGGACAGAACCTCCTATAGAAGGGACTTAGGTGCTGTTCTGTTCGCACTTGACAAAGTCAGATATTGTTAGGCTACACTTTATGAAAGATTGAAAAGTATCCAAGTTCCCATCTTTCTGGTTGTCCATTTTCCTTCTCACAATGTGCGTTCTTGTAGCAATTGGAATGGTCTATGGCTAAGGAAGGAGACACAAGGGGCAGCTTGATACATTTGCCTTATCACAGGAAAAAATACATCGGAAATAGCAATAATGAACGGAAATTGCACAGATATTATGGGATACCCATGGAAACCTTTCTCTTTTTGAGTTCCACCATATTCCAGACAATGATACCAATATCTATGTACATCACTATGAAGTTGGTTCGTTTGGGACAATCATATATATTTCATGATCAGAGACAGGCATATTTATGATAGTGGGTCAAATTCAAGGTTTTAGTGTAGATTCTTGAATTTTAATGAAGATTTGGGTCTGAAAAATTATGAATTTTCTGAAAAAACAGGAACACTAATTGAAAAGAAGATGGACATCGAGTGTATAGGGAATAGACTGTGCAAGCTCCTCCTTTCAAAAAAAAAAAAAGACTATGCAAGCTCCCTTTCCGTCAAACATTCTACTCAATCAAACATTCTGAAATGATGGCAGTAGGCATGGCCTCGGTTCGGGCCGCCCGGCCCGGGACCGGCCCGACCCGCTACTGTGCGGGCCCGGCCCGGCCCGGTTATCTGGGTCCGGGTCCGGTTCGGGCCGGAGGCCCGGGGGTGGGGCGGTTCCGGGCTCGGTTCATGGTTTTGACGGCCCGGCCCGGCCCGGCCGGTTCGGGCCCGGGTCCGGGCCAAATCTATTTTTTTTTTAATTTTTTTCATTTGTTTTGGGCTGTTGGGCTTGGGCTATCTGTTTAGGCCGGTTTGGGGGGGTTTGGGGGGGTGGGGGGGTGGGGGGGGTGGGGGAAGAAAGGAAAAAAAAAAATTAAAACGGGTGGCCCGACCGGCCCGGCCCGGTCCGGCCCGGAACCGGACCCGGAACCGGTGGCCACCGGTTCGGGCTCGGGCCCAACAAAACAGACCCGAGGCCCGGCCGGGCCTAGGCCCGAACCGGCCCGGGTCCATCCATAGATGGCAGTAAAACCACTTATATATACAAAGGTACATTGCATAATAGATACTATCAATCAAACATTCTGAAATTAATGGTTAAAACCAACAATCTAATATACCTCCAAACTTTCACGACCGAAGGATAAATAGAATATATAAGGATTGTTGTTTTAATAATAATACCCTGGTTTGTAGAATCGGATTTACTCGGGATTAGGGCTTCGTTATTTGAAATTAAGGCTCGGTTTCTTTCAAAAAGAAACAAAAACCCAAATATTACAACATGGAGACTGTTTCCTTTTTCATCCTATGCGCAGATGATGTCATGTGCTCATTGGGCATTGACAAAATTAAAATGACATACCTTACCACTAAAATCATTTCAAATACATATCTACACACAAATATAATAACTACACCTTTACTAATATTGTGGCTACCTCAAAAACACATTTCATTTTTGGTGCAACTCAGCAAATATTTTCATCAAACCCATCCATGATCTAGGACTAATTGGGCCAATTCATGTCAGCAGTTCAACACTGGCAAAAATTGTCATCACAAACTCACATATTTATACATATAATCAAACTGAATCCATGGCCATCACATAGAATACACGTGCCTATGGGAAACATTATTTTATCAAAGTGTAACGATAACTGGCGCCATGATGTTAAAGTTTCTTGGTTCTATAATAGTAGTCTGTAGTGTAGTTGGTAATACAATAGCATACTTAGGCAGCAGCATCAACAGCAAGACCTGTAGTAGCATCATCCGTCCCAAATGTTTCAATGTACTTTTTCCTTGCGTCGAGATGGTCATGTGGGCGGTTGAACGGAGTCCAAACTGGGTCACCAACAAAGAGTCGCATCGCCTGAAAAAGAAAAGGCAGTTTTTGAGAAATCACAGCACGCAAAAAACAGCTACATACGTCCTATATATGAATAGGACACCGATTCCGTACTGGACGGCTGGTTTATCACTTTACATCTTTCTTTTGGAAATTATGATGTTCAATTGATGTATGTATAGAATAAATGAGTAACTCTTCCTGTCACTTCTCCTCCAAAATTCAACTCCCATACATAGCCTTAGGGAGAGAGGATTACGAATACAGAGTTAGTCATATTGGTAGCTAGGTACCCCTTAAGTCCCAATGGATATACAAAAGTTAGTCATATTATAAAGAAGAGCAATATACTTCTCATATCTCAACTTTATGATTGCATCAAGTGTCAAACTATAGAAGACTTTATATGACAGTCAATTAGCAAAATGAAATGATGGCAGTAAAACCACTTTAATAAAGGGTATACCTTAATAAAGCGCATGTAAATCTTGTTTGGGTATACCTTAATGTAATTATTAGAATCAAGGGTAAAACGGTGATAAATTCCGGCAGGGAGGATTATCATCGCTCCTTTCTTCACCCAGATCCTGATCCATTCATCATTCTTATCGCGTACATCAAAATAACCTTCAATTGAAAGGAGTACAAAACATTAACAACTGTAACATAACGCTGATGAAGTAGAACTAAAAATTTATGTTCTGATCGGTAAGGGTTATTTTCAGAAATCATTGTATATGCTGTACTTGAAATGGAAAATGTTTCGTAACATCCCTTTCAACTGGAAGAGTGAAGGAAAAGCTGCTTAGCAGATTAAGCAAAAACTATGACTTCATCTGAGCATAATGAAAATTTTATTATTATTTAATGATAGTCCTGTACTCAGTATGTTTTATGTGTAGTATAGTATGAAGTACACAGGTCTTGATGCCAGACAAGTCCAGAATAGATTAAGACCTACCACTCCCGGCAACACAATAGCGGATTTCTTCATCAGTGTGAAGATGCTCTTCAAAGAAATTTTTTATCTTCTCTTCATAATTGGGCAACTTTTCAGGGCACACCTCACAAAAGTCCTAAAGAAGCATAGTATATACAAATAGATGATAGGCTTGAAACAAGAAAAATGATTGAGCTTATATCAAAACTTCCACTTTTTTTTATTCTCACTTACCATGTATGAATATCCTCGGGATTCACGGATTTGCTTCAAAACCTCATCCTTTTCATAATTGTCAGCATCTAACCTCCAGCTGAGCACTCCAAGCTCTAAGAGTTACAAATTAAGTATAGGATGATAAATGTTAATTGCATAATCAGATGAATGATGAAGTGTGACATCAAACAGGATACAGCGTATAAACACACATACCATCAAGTTTGTCAAAGGAGACAAACAGATTTGGCTCACGGTGATGAGGAAGTCTCTGGTCTGCATTGCTATCATCCATATACCATGCCTGTATTACTTCTTCCCTGCTATCCTGCTTGAAAGAAAATTGCATACATATTGAAATCATAGAGCATCATTTTTCTTCCCAATTTTATTTCTAGGACAAAACGTTCTAACTTTGAATGGAGAAAATCAAGTTAGTCAAGGAGCTATCAGCTAACACGTCATTCAATTTTGGTACGTCAAGGAGTATTAATATTTTTTTTTCGCTTTTCAAACACGCTAATTGACTGCCATTTTCAGATCATCCCTACTTGAGGATTGTATTCTTAACTTGCAGGAGATTCTCATCTCCCCCCTAATAATTCATATCAATCCATCATGATTACTGGAATTGCAGTGGTACAAACAAAATGTCTTTAGTTCACATTAAAGTCTAGGAATTTAAACGATTGCAAACAATAACCAACATCAATTCCTACAAAGAGGAAGAACTACTCCTATTTAGTAACTACTCCTAAATAATACGTATAATATTTAGGAAAGTGCAGATAACAGAGGACAATTGAAACGATTAACAAGAACATTTCAATTTTTTTCTTGAAAAAACTAAACTTTAATAAACAAATCCGGGTAGCAAACAAACATCTGAAGAGAAAAATAAGGCCTGATAGAAATTTTGAGAGTAAATGACTGGATACGAGTAAACTCAGACGAGATCGGTTTGAAAAATATTCACGTCTCATACTCTATGAATTCAAACAATCTTTTTGAGGTGCCTGTCCTCTACCAATCCTTCTCTAATAGCTAAGAACAGAAATGATTTATTATCAAAAGGAATTTTTATTTTTTTTACTGAATCACAAGAAATTGTATCGAATTCAATATTTGGACTATATAAAATATTTATGAATATCAAAGATAAAAAGAAATAATTTGAGAAACTTGTTCTTAGTATCTTAGAAAAATATTTTGATTCATAGTTTCTCCTCCAAAAATGACTTATCCCATGGGTGAAAGAATGGTTGCGAAAATTATGAAATATATTAGTTATTATATGGATCCTCTAGGAACTTACCTTCCAATTGTGAAAGGAAGGAATATAACTTTAATCATATATTTATTAATCTTTATATATATAAAAATGGAACCAGCTAGGAATAACTGTTGTTTAGTTGAGCAAACCAATCTGCAATCCAAATCTTTACTTTACAGCCCGAAGATACCAACTTGTTAACATTAATTGTCTTCACAACACCCTGTTCGAAGTAATTTTGTATTTGAATTCTTAATATAATCAATTTAAATATATTAAACCTCCAAATATAGTACCTATGTAGGTATATATATATTTTTAATTTTAAATTGACACCACTGAAAAATAAAAATTCTATGTCTAGCAATATAGCATTGATAATCTTCTATAAATTGACACCACTGACACTAGATCCTGGCCCTGACCATATGGGACCTATTCAGCCCCTACGCTTGTGGCATTGAATATCTCGTTTTGCCTTTTTTTTTTTTTTCTTAATTAAGCCTACTAAACAAATACTCCATCAGTCGCATTTTGTTTGTCTCGCCTTTCTTTTTTAAGTCATCCAAAAATGTTTATCCCATGCCAAAGTTGGCCATGGTTTGTGGCTCAATCATGCTTACTTTGACAGGTTCAATATCAACCACAGAATCCAACTATTCCTTAATATTTGTTCCAACTGCCAAACTCCATGTCCCAAACTAAATGGGACGGAGGTGGTATTTTCATGCATTCATATACACTTATTACACTATTATATACAAAGGTACATAGCATAATAGATACTATCAATCAAACATTCTTAAATTAATGGTTCTATACTTCTATTACATGATTACAAATTAAATCAACAATCTAATACAGCTCCAAACTTTCACGACTGAAGGATAAATAGAATATATAAGGATTATTGTTTTCATAATAATACCCTGGTTTGTAGAATCGGATTTACTCGGGATTAGGGCTTCGTTATTTGGAATTAAGGCTCAGTTTCTTTCAAAAAGAAACACAAACCCAAATATTACAACATGGAGACTGTTTCCTTTTTCATCCTATGCGCAGATGATGTCATTCCATTGGGCATTGACAAAATTAAAATGACATACCTTACCACAAATCATTTCAATATCTACACACAAATATAATAACTACACCTTTACTAATATTGCGGCTACTTCAAAAACACATTTCATATTTGGTGCAACTCAGCAGCAGGAATTTCACTTCCTCTGAATAAATGAGTGATATTCATTGTTAAATTACGTTCATAGAGCTCATGAGGAAGACATAATCTTCAATATGTTGCCAAAAAAACCATACGGATCATGGAAACAAAATGCCAAAAAAACTGAGAAAGGTCATGTCACAGACACCTTGAGAAAAACGGTTTTATTGAAATGGCATAACACAAATTACAGACCTGAGCCATGTGCATCCGACTAGAGGGTTCAAATCCATCATAGCATATTGGCTGAGGCTTATTCGCCAACAGATTCTTTAACTCTTCTTCCTGGATACACTCTTCCCCTGTGCTCCGAACAACATCAAATCTCTCCTCCAAACTCATCCTTGATTAAAAAAAACTAACAACGAATCACAAAAAAAGCCCATAGCATTGGGAACAATTGAACACATATACGCGTAGAAGGAGCAGGGGAAGAGAATTTCATTAATAGGACACGGAATTGCACGGGCTAGAGGATGAGGAGTGCAAGGATAGTGATCCCAAAGCATTCAACTGGGGCTCTTGATTGTCCATGGATGACTGCTTCTGCAAGCAGAAGATCGTGAGCAGGGGCGGCCCTCTATATTTGAAGGCGTAGGGGTGAACTATATAAAATAGGCCTAGTTTTAAAAAAAACAAAATTGTAAAACCCTTTTCTGACTAATTGTGAAGCAAAGTCATCAACTACAACTTCACAATCAAGCTTTTCTAAAACATTTTTCTCAAGAGGATAATTGAGTTGTATATCTCTTATAGGGCCTTTTTCAATTACAATACTTCTTGTTTTGGCAGCTAGACTCTTCCAATAAGAAGGGTCGTAAATATCCAAAATCAAAGGGCCAGCAATTGAAGTTGATACATTTTATTTATCCAAATCATTTTTTGGTTGCTAATTGTCAATGTTATCAACTCCTAAACTCTCACCTCCTAAGACATCATCATTATGAACTGCTTTCTTTTCAGTAGATGAATCATTCTTCTCGTCTAAGTTCTTGTCTTTAGGAAGACCTTCAGAATTTGTCTTCTTCATAATAACAAACTTTTCCATTGAACTTTTTTTACTTAGGGCAGCATTATCTAATCCCCTCTTCTTCATTTTTTTCTCTCATCCAGATTCACTCATTTTTATTAAACCTTGAAATTAGTTAAATTAATAAATTTAATTATAATTGAAGTTTATTACCTAACAAAATGAACAAATTATAACATCAACACTCAATAGGTTATAATCAACAATTAAGTAATTAACATGCAACAAATCAACTAATTATTTTTCAACTATTCATAATCATTATAAACATTGACAAATTCAATGAATTTAACAATTAATAAACTGGTCACATAATCATATGATCCTACAATCGTACTAATCAAATCAAATAAATTAATAAAATAAAATGTTACTAGTAATTGTTAAAACCTGGTCACATAAGTTTGTAAAAGTTTATAACAATGGTCAATGGCTGAACTGCCGGAACTCGGAAGGTGTACCTCAATGCCTGAAAAACAGAACTCTTGAAGGTTTGCAAAGTTGGAGTTAGAGACTGGAGTGCTGGACGTGGAGGTCGAAGGTTGAACGGTTGAAGGCGGAACGGAACCGCAGTTCACAGAAGGCTGTGTTAGTTTACAGAAGGGTTGAAAACAGGAGCTTGAAACTAAACTTCTGTGTGTGTTAGTTGCTCCATGCTTTTGTTTTATTTGGGCTTTTGGGCTAGTTGCGTTGCACAAAATTTTCATTTATTTTGGGCCTAGGCCCCCTTCCCCAAGGCCGCCCCTTATCGTGAGTTACCTGAGGTATAAATTGTCCGAAGGATAATTTTGTAAAATTGATCGGTGTGTATAAAACGAATTGAAACAAGGGGCTGTGTATAGTAAAAAGTGGGGGCTGCATTTAGAATTACCCAACTCTGAATTCAACAAAAAAATATTGGGAAATTCTATTCACAGCCCCAAAATTGCTATTCACAGCTAGGGGTGGGCATGGTCAGTTAACCGTGTTTTGGTTAACCAACTTTCCAGTTAACCGAGAAACTTCTTACTCCGGTCAGGGGCGGATGAAAGGCATAGGCAATGGGGGCACATGCCCCCAATAACATTTGTGCTTTTACATTAATTTTCTGTACTTTTAATCTGTTATTGATCAATGCCCCCAATAAAAATATAACAATGCCCCCAATGAATACTTCAAAATATATTTGAAATGCAAAAGCGGCGGATCGGAAAAGCAAGCATGTATATCATCTATACTGCATGATTTTTGAGAGTTTTTTATTGATTTGTTTAGTGATATTGGTAAACCTAGTTTGGAGAGTATGATTTAAAAAAAGTTGTCACGTTGGATTTCAAGTAAATAGAATGTCGAATATTTAGTTTGTATATATATACATCTTTCTTAGTCTATAATTAATTTTCATATTTCAATGATAGTTTATTACTCCGTAACTTATTTGTATATTTTCTCTTTATAGTCAACTATTTTTTTCTTCAAAAATCACATTGGTCGAAATTGGAATGATGGACTACGTGAGGTTTCGTATTTGAATAATGTTATACGAAGTACATAAATTGCATCTTTTAAAATAAAGGGGAAATGGAAACTAATAATCCAACCTTATAGCGGTCTTCTTACAATAATCCAACCTTTTGGTTATTCATGAATAATCCAACCTTTGCATCTCATCTTCATTCACTGGTCCCTGACTGGTTGATGACCTGCTATTCCAAGCTATTTTCTTATCTTTGCAAATCATTATACCATAAATCTAATCTTTCACAAAGATAATATTTTGCAAAGATAAGAAAATAACTTGGAATAGTAGGTCATTAACCGACCAGGGACCAATGAATGAAGATGAGGTGCAAAGGTTGGATTATTCATGAATAATCAAAAGGTGGGATTATTGAAAGAAGACCGCTAAAAGGTTGGATTATTAGTTTCCATTTTCCCTAAAATAAATGTATATATTGTTGGTTCAATCTTATATATGACTTGTAGTGAGGATGCTCTTAATAAGAGTGTAGTTTTCTATCTTATATAGTATGATTTCTTTGAGTTTGACATGATGTGAACTGGCATGGATGTTTGTTCTAATCTGATTTGGTTGGTCTAATCTGATCTAATCTAAACTAGTTTGATCGAGTAGATGTATGTTCTATGCATATTTTACAATTGTCAAAATCTGATCTACTTTGAGACTAGAACAGTCTCACTAAAAATATCCTTAGTAAGAACAGTGCCCCCAATAACTATGATCTCTAGATCCGCCCCTGACTCCGGTTAACCGAGTATCGGTTAACCAAAACTTCGGTTAACCACAAACCGGTTAACCAAAAACCACATGAAAATAATTTTCTAAACAAAAATCATTTTTTTCTAAACCATAAAACTTCTATGATCATAAACAAAAATCATAAATAGAAAAAAAGAACAAAGCAAATAGGAGTCACGAATAGATCTGTATAATTCAAGATATTGAATCAAATCAAATTTAAGTTAGACACTGAAGTTTATAAGTAATAGTGTTCTTGCAGCAGACTACAGTTTAAAATCTTCAGTGGAAGAACATCAAAATCTTTATAGAAAGAACACCGGGCAAGTTCTACTTGTATACAGACTAAAACTCCATAATAGTTGCAGAGTACTCGGTATAATATAAAATTGCCTTAAGAGCACACAAAAAAAGAGGCAAAGATGCCTCCAATGCCAAAAAAACCACAAGAACTGAGGGGGGAAATCATACGGAGTGTTTAACCCCTACTCTACACAGGCATACTGGTTCAACAAATCAATCACTTTTTTTTCTCGATCTATTGAGACCCAATTGCAATAGCAGTGACCAAACCCCATTTATTCATATTCCAAATCACCAAACTGAATCCGATCCACTTCACATCTGATTTAAGATATCTTCAATGATCATAACAAAAAAAACTTTACTAAAGTAACGACACAAAAACACCGGATCAAAATAATCAGAGCCAGATCACATAGAGGAATGCAAATAATAAACCCAGAAATCACCTACTAACTGTGAACAAAGTGTGAATCAATTGGGGAAAAATACAGAGAGAAAGACAAGTAAATATGCGGAAAGAGGAAAGAGAGAAGAAGACCTTCCCGATGAGCAAAGCTTGAATCGAACGAGAACAGCAACGGGGGAGCGTGGTATGATTCGGTAAACGGATGGTATTTCTTTCAAGAAATATGCTAAAGGTGTAAGCCGAGTTCGTATATGGTACATCCGGCTGTAAGGTGAGCACCTTACAGCCGGCCCAGTAACAGGTCCAAGGGAAAATAGCTAAATAATTCGGTGGCATTTTTGTAATTAATGTAAAATCGTGGTTTCTGCTAAATGAGCATTAGTGTATTGGTAATGAGCAATAGTCCAATTTTAATGAGTATTAAGCGTCTAATAATGAGCACCGTGTTATTACAAAAAAGCTGTTATCAAAACTAAAAAACGGTGGCATTTTCGTAATTTTAGTGAAAATCACGGTTTTCGTTAGATGAGCATTAATACACTTTTAATGAGCATCAGACGTATTCTACTGAGCATTAAGAGTTACTAAATGAGTATTGTCATATCAACTTCATAGAGGTAATTCACTTTATTTTTCTTATTTTTTCTTTTATAAAAACCCATTAAATTATATCTGTAATCAATTCCTATAGATTTCAATATGTGAATCTATTGTAATATAGTACTTTTGAAATATGTATTGTTATGACATTTTAAAAATGAGCACAACATGAGTACTAATTGAACATATGTAAATTACAAAATGAGCATTGATATGAAACTCATAAGTTTTTTGTTGAGCATCGCGACAATTTTGTTGAGCCTTAAACCTCCTATATTGAGTATTAGAAACTTGCAATTAAATATCATGGTCCGTGATACAATATCTATAATCAACTCCATGAATCTAATGTAATATGACACTTTTGAAATATGCATTGACATAACATTTTAAAATGTGCATACTATCAGTATCAAATGAGCTTACATAATTTACCAAATGAACAATGATATGAAAATGATAAGCTTTGTTAGTTGAGCTTCAAAACATTTTCATTGAATATCAAACATCCTCTATTGATTATCATAAGCATACAATTGAGTATCATGATTTAAAAATGATTGTCGAAAAATTTAAAAGCTCGTTTGAATTCTGTAATGTGTTCAAATGTTTATTTGTGCATATTTAGTTTACACTATACTCATTTTAATGTAATACAAAACTCATGTTTGTAATTGACACACAATATTTAATAACTAATAAATACTGTACTTATCTTAAAAGTAAAAATAGAAAAATAAAACATTTATATTTAAATATTTTACGATGAACAAATAAAAAATGATGTAGAAAGATGATTTTAAAAAGGAGAAAAAAAACTCGACACCATATTAATATTTTATATTTTAAATTTTTTGAATAAAAATTAAAGCAAAAGGCTCTTGAATTAAAAAGTAAAGAAAAAGAAAAAAAGAAAACAACAAGTAAAAGCTAACCTAGAAACGTACGAACGAAAAAAATAAAAGAAAAGAAAGCAGAGCAAAGAACTGTGTGCGGCTGAGAGAAAGCACGGACAGCCGGACAGGGACGATGATCGAAGAACGAATCGGAGAAAGCAGAGCACCTTAGATATAAGCCTGGAGGTTCAATTTAATTTCAAAAATACCCGGCTGTACGGTGCTCACCGTACAGCCGGTTGTACGGTATAATCTACGGTGTAAGCCACCATATTTTTGTGGCTCACCATTGTGAATTGGTATCTAAATTTGTACCACACCCTATTTTCTCTATTTATGTGCCTCACAAAAGCACTTCATTAAAGTGGGGCAATTCATTTATTGAGTTGAGCCTTTGTGAGCCACAAAAATAGCTTGGGATACATATAGCAAGGTTGTTCTTTCAATATGGTAAACCGACCGTAAACATTGTTTTTATTCAATCTGTTAATTGTATAGTGACTTTAAAAAAATGGTACCCTTAACCGGAAAAATAATGGTTTTTCGGATTTTTCACACGGTTATATGGTTATGGTTTTTTTGTGCCCACCCCTGTTCACAACCACTAAATTATTTTTATACCTACCTTAGAGCTGGTCTCCTAAGTCACTCGTCGTTGAAATAGACTCTATTCAAAAGATTCACCAGTTACGTCTGACTCATCTTCTTCTCTTCCTGCCACTTTCATCTCTTCCTATTTAACACAATTTTCCCCATCTTCATTTATTCGTTCTCCTCACAATGTATTGAGCAATTCAACCTTCAATTTAAACAGTCACCACTGCTTGCTCTCTTAGGATGTTTTTACTTGGTCTGTAATTTGTCCCAGACTAGACCAAATCAGACCAGAACAGACCAGGTCAGACCAGACCAGACTTGGATAGTTATAAAAATACAAAGAAACCAGACCAGACCAGACCAACAAATTACAGTCCAAGTAAAAACATCCTTAATCTTCATCCTCTCTTTTACTTCTCTGTTGCAAATGAAGCCGGCAGACAGACGACGTTGAGTCCATATATACGTATATATGTGTGTAAATGATTCAGAAAGCGCTAAATTTGGAAGCAAAATAATACATGCGAGAATTATTTTGCTCCAAAATAGAAAGCAAAATACTACATCTTGGGCCAGCGATGTAAGTCAGAGACGGTGCCCCCGGACGGCTCAAGTCTTCCAGGTCAGCACCAGCGGCCTCTCTCGGATTGGGCACTTCAGTCAGCGGCGAATGTCGGACGGAGCTCCTGCCTTTCTCTGTTCTGATGAAGGAACTCCTAGGTAAGTCTCGCCACTCCTCTCTGATTGGTCAAGCCCTCTCCTGGAGCCAGCAAGGCCACACCCTCCAAGTCAAATACATGGATCACTATACACGGGTGCAGGGCCGGAATAGAGTTTGGGCCTTTTTCCAAATTGCAACACAAGAAAATAGTCTTAAAATACAAGTTACTAATAAAGGTAATGATAACAACAATGCAACAATTCAACGAACATGAAATCAGAAAAACAGAATAAGCAAATTACAACAATTTATCAATTCAACAAACAATTGAATAATTCAAAAATTCCCAAGAATTAATAATTAATAGAATCAGAAAAATTGAAAAGATTTGGACTGACCGTAGATGCTGGCTGCTGCAATATACCTTCTGCTAGTATGCACGTTCCAGACTTCCAGTAGGCATGATTTGGGAAGGAATTGCAAGCTCAGAGTCCACCACAACCTATAACATATATAGCAACACGATTCTAAATTCTACTTTTGCAAGAAAAAAGTGAAAGAGGCATTTTGTCAAACAGAATGAGATCCTTTTAGCATACCCGAAGAATGTTCATAGAGGAGCTGACTTTCAAAACCGCAAATGATGGGGGCGGCAATTTTACTCCATCCGAATTCGGATTCTCAAGAATTCGGGAATGTCCTTCTCCTCTAAAAACCTTAATGACCGGATAGAGGCGAGAAGTGGGGCGCGGTTTGGCTTCGTTGGGCGTCTGATCGAAGAAGTCGGGAGTTTGGCTGGGCGTCTTGATGGCCGATGGGTTAAAGTTGGGCGGATGAATTTGGGCTCAGTTCTAATACTAATTTTGTTTTTGGGCCCTCCAAAATTCCGGGCCCTGTGCGATTGCACTGGGCAGACATGCCCAGGGCCGGCCCTGCACGGGTGTGATTCGTGGCAGATGAAAGTTTTTTTAAGGGAAGCAAATGAAAGAAATTAATAAGCTAGAAGCCCCGATGAAGAAGACGCGAATAGAATGTGGATAAGTTGCGGAGATTATAAAATAAGGGTATAATAGGAACTTTAAATTCATGCGCATGTATCTAGTAATTATTGGAGTGTAAATAGAATTACCCAAAAATATTGAGCATGTTACATGTCCATCTTCTATTTTGAGGCCCTAGATCAGGGCCCGCCCAAATGGTGGGCTGGGGCAACATGGACTAAACGGTAGGCCAGGTTAGCATAGCCCATAAATTAGGGTAACAATTAGGCTAAAAAATTTTCTATCTAGTGTGAACAAGTTACTATTTTGTTCTTTTAAGTTCTAATACTAAAACATTTTTTTCTAAAAAAAATATGGAATGTAACTACACGTGTGTTATGCAATCAAAACAGAGAGAAGTCGAATAGTGCAGATGTGCAATAGATAAAAGCTACTAAGCTAGAGAGAAAAAATGTTTCACAAGAATGACGTGGTAATAGTACAAACAATAATTTTGAAACATGTAATAATAAGTTGGAGCAGTCATGGACCGGTTCCGAACCGCCCGGACCAAGGCCCGGTATTGTTTGGAACCGGCCCGGCCAGAGACCGACCGGGTAGGCCCGGTCCAGGGGTTACATAGGGCGGGCTCGAGTCACCCAAAATAAGAACCTGCCTGACCGGACCAGGCCCGATTCGGGCCGTTTTTTTTACATTGTTTTCCTCGGGTTGGGCTGGGTGTTTCTTTTTTTTGGGGGGGGGGGGGTTGGGGGTTGGGAGTGTTTGGGGGGGGGCAGGGGGGGATGGGGTCGGGGGTTAATTAGAAAAGCGAAAAAAAGATAAGGAACCGGCCTGAGGGCCCGGCCCAGCCCAGACCCGGTGGATAACCGGACCGGTTCTGGGCCTCAATTCCCAAGCCCCGAGGCCCATTCGGGCCTAGGCCAGACCCAGACCCAGACCCGAACCGGGCCCGGTCCATGACTAAGTTGGAGGTCAGGTGGAGGAAATCTGAAACATTCTCCTTGGCTCATACCTCGAAATCAATTTAAATCTAATTTCGACATTGTCGAGATTAGATCTAAATATTTCATCAAACCCATCCAGGATTGAGGACTAATTGGGCCAATTCATGTCAGCAGTTCAACAGTGGCAAAAATTGTCATCACAAACTCACATATTTATACATATAATCAAACTGAATCCATGGCCATCACATAGAATACACGTGCGTGCCTATGGGAAACATTATTATATCAAAGTGTAACGATAACCGGCGCCATGATGTTAAAGTTTCTTAGTTCTATATAATAGTAGTCTGTAGTGTGTTGGTAGTACAATAGCATACTTAGGCAGCAACATCAACAGCAAGACTTGTAGTAGCATCATCCGTCCCAAATGTTTCAATGTACTTTTTCCTTGCGTCGAGATGGTCATGTGGGCGGTTGAACGGAGTCCAAACTGGGTCACAAACAAAGAGCCACATCGTCTGAAAAAGAAAAGACAGTTTTGAGAAATCACAGCACGCAAAAAACAACTACATACGACGTATATATGAATAGGACACTGATTCCGTGCTGGACTGCTGGTTTATCACTTTACATCTTTCTTTTGGAAATTATGATGTTCAATTGATGTATGTATAGAATAAATGAGAAATAGCTTTTCCTTTCGCTTCTCCTCCAAAATTCAACTCCCATACATAGCCTTAGGGAGAGAGACATCCAATTCACATCCAATTCATTTGCTACAAGGGAAACAATGATTCATCAACCAATCATGGTCTAGCAAAGATTGGCTTCCCATCATATAAGTTTTTCTATATGAACTTATATATGATATAATTTCTAAAGTAGTGTGATGTGTAGATCTTGGTTCTCATAATAAAATAATCAACATGTGCTTGTTTGAGAAATTAAAACTAAACTAATATGATTAATTTGCTTCCACTCATTTTGAGATAAGTGCAGTGATCTACTAAAACCATTTGATTTCACTTCATCAAATTTGAGCCAATAAATAGACTTAAAAACATTAGATGTGCGATCTTTAAAAACATAGAGAGTAAACCTTTTGGAGTTTTAAGAATAGATCAAACCATATAATTTACTCTTACAATTTTTCCCGCTCGCCGGCGGCAAAGGGCCAAGTTCGAAAGGGCAGAAGGAGGTACGTTCTCTGGTCTCTGCTCACACATAAGAGAGAAACACTCATCGGGCAAATGAATAGAATGGACACTGAAGACCACTCAGAGAAATTGCAGAAGTACCTGGAAAAGCACCACTCCGAGCAACTCCAATCCATCACTCTAGCTCCGGATCATCGGCTTCACTACCCCCTCCATGTCGAGTAAGCTCCCTCCATTACACTCCACATCCTTACGCTTCCATCCCAATCGATGTTCTGGTAACCTCACTCCCTATCAGTTTTGCAGGGGTTATGGACGAATACCCCCACATTGCTCAACTGATCTTCTCACAACCCGATGATTATCTATTGCTTTTCGAAGAATCTGCCGTTTTAGCGCAGGTAGAAGTTTGTTAATAGTAACGCCTTCATGGTTGACCATTCCCATTCAATTATGATTTCTGTCTCTTTTAATTAGAAGAAGGTACCTAGTGAGTTTGGAGAAGCTCGTTTTAAGAGCCACATACATGTTCGAATTAACCCCTGCGGTTCTCCTCTTGAATGTCCAGGTATGTTTTTCCCTTCATGGCTTCATTATATTCGAATGTATGCCTTCAGCAGTTCCAATATGAATTCGTTTTTTTTCATATTAGAATCTTTTCCAAGCATTGGACGTGTGCGGGTTAAGCATAGGGGGATTCTTCTCACGCTCAAAGGGACTGTAATTAGGTCTGGGCCTGTGAAAATGATTGAAGGGGAAAAGTTGTATCAGTGTAGGAGATGTAAACACAGGTTGCTTTTTAGTTTGTTTCTTTGAATATTAATTCTTTTGGGTATGTTTGGATCTTGGGAAGTTCCATGATAGAAAAAACAATGCTCATGAGTCAGGATAGGTATTTTCTAGTTTTACCTCTGAAAATGCAAAGAAAAATGAAAAGTCATGTTTTTTAATTTTATGCACTTATATGTCGTTTTTAGTGCTTTATTATAGATAATAAATCGAACGAGTTTGAACAATTATATATTATGTAGTATAAATTTATTTAGTTTGAGCATATCTTTTATTTTTCTCCAAAATTTATTTTCTTCCATTTCCACCCCATTTTTTCCTCTCTATTCTCTTCCTACCGTGTATTCCCCTTTCCAAATAGAGACTCTTGACTGGTAGGTTGGAAGGAAACAACACATATTCACTTACCTTTGCATGAGATGAGTCATCTACTTATTTTTATTCATTCAACTCATATTAGCACCACAGATTGACTTACCTTTTATAATTACATGTGTTCCCAATGGATTCTCAGTGGTCTTCACCTAAGTGGTTAACATTTTCAGGTTCAGAGTTTATCCTGAGGTGGAAACTAGAAATTCCATCCCCAAGCCTACATCCTGTCCATCACAGGTCTGGTAAATTTTAATATGTTTATTGCGAGTATTAGGTAGCACTTTCACTTACCTTAGTGTTTCTCAAGTTTTGATACATGTGCAGTTTATACTAAACTTTGACATTCAGTACCAAAACAAGAACACCCCTATTCGAATGTATTTTTTGTCTGCTACTTTTTCGTCCTATTGAATCTGTTATGCGCTTTTGGTTGTGATTGTAAGCATCACCCAAGAGTATTATAGATTGCTTTGATGTTTTTCTCTATATTACTCTCTTATTAGTCAATTATCATTGAGTTTGTATTACCTCTTTCTTAACCCTACCCACTTGGAGATTTACTGCATTTTCACATGGTTTTGTCTGATTTAATCATTGCTTTTGGTTCCACATTTCCTATTACAGAAGCCTAAATTTTGTGAAAGCACAAATTTCCAGCTAGTGGAAGATAGCATGGTTTGCCGTGATTATCAGGAAATTAAAATCCAAGAAAGCACCCAGGTGTTGGGTATTGGAGCTATCCCTCGTTCCATTCCTGTTATCATGATGGATGATCTCGTTGACATGGTTAAAGCTGGAGGTACTGCTTTTCAACCAAGCATCGCAAATATCTACAGTTTTCTGGATTATTATACAACACTCTTTGCCAATCCCAACTTACTGATGTATTGTAATTTTATTCAGACGATGTTATTGTTACCGGAGTTCTCAAATCTAAATGGTCAGCAGATTTAAAAGATGTTCGCTGTGATCTTGAGCCTGTATTAGTTGCTAACCATGTGAGGTAAATGAGGCTTTCAGTTAATTCAACACTATGAATGTTTCATAAAAGGATATAAAAGGAATTATTTGCTGTCTTTAAAAAATTGCTTGGTAAATTTATATAGATATGATAAATATCTCTAATGTTTCTATATTGTGTAGATATGGAGTATGTACTGCCATGTTCCAAGAGTACTTAGTAGTTCAATGGACAAATAGAAACCATTGTCTAGACTATACCTCCTTTCATTTATCAAAGTTTCTCTGTTTTTTTCAGGAGAATAAATGAATTAAAGTCAGAAATAGACATTCCGGATGACATTATTTTTAAATTCAAGCAGTTTTGGCAAGAGTATGAGCTTTCCCCTTTAAAAGGTACACATATTCCACTTTATAGTATCATGTTTATTGTAATAATTTATCTTGACAATTTTCTTTATCATTGTCAAATATAGGTAGGAATGCCATTCTTAGAGGAATTTGTCCGCAGGTCTTTGGACTTTTCACTGTCAAGCTAGCAGGTTTTATTCTCGTCACCACTGTGTTTTGTAAACTTATTTGAATCCAAATGCAGTCAAACCATGAGGTTGCCACTATCACCAGTGCTTGCTACGTAGACAAACTTATAACAAGACGTATTTGCATTTGGATTTATTTACATATTATTACAAATAACTTTCAAACCTCTTTACATGTATTATTGAGGGAGTTTATATCTGATCATTGTGATGTAGTTGCATTGACACTTGTTGGAGGGGTAGAACACATTGATGCTTCTGGAACAAAAGTAAGGGGAGATTCTCATTTGCTGCTTGTTGGTGATCCTGGTAACTTCTACATCTACTTGTTGACTACTGCTATTTTGAAATTATGATCTGGTTTACATAAATTTTATCATTACTATCATCACCTTAATCCCAAGTTCCCAACTGTGTTTTGATGGTGCCATGAAATTTGGTGTCATTAATTGTCTATCAGTCTATCATTAATTAACACTAAAATTCATGTAAAAGTATAGTGGAACTATTTTATACATCCATTTAAAGGATGGATGATGTGATGAAATTGCATACCATTACTTTGAAATGTTTTTTCTACTTGCAAAAATGATTTCATGGAACCACAATGAGTTAATAAGGCTGTTTTAGTCATTTTGCATGCCATATTGCAAAATTGATACATATTCAATAGGAAACACCACTGGTTTACATAATTTGTATAAAAAATGTTTTCATTTCAATAGTATTGGTCTTTTACTTTAAGCTGTATAATGCTCTAAGGTAATTCAAGCTTTATATGTCAACCAGGTACTGGGAAATCACAGTTTTTGAAGTTTGCTGCCAAATTGAGCAATAGATCTGTAATTGCTACTGGGTTGGGAAGCACAAGTGCTGGATTAACTGTTACTGCAGTTAAAGACGGAGGTAAATCATTCTTCACTTCATCTATTATTAGATTATTACATACTTGATACTAGTTAGAGAATATGGATCGAGTTAACAACTTAAGTACTTCCAGGGGAGTGGGTTCTAGAAGCTGGTGCTCTTGTTTTAGCAGATGGTGGTCTCTGTTGCATTGATGAATTTGATGGGTAAGCTCATGGGCCATTCATTGTTTTTAGTCTCACTCTAATACCTCAATGAAGTGTTTCAGTTAAGAGAATAACATTTTGCAGTGGGTTTGTAGAACTGATTGTTTCCATCAGTTCCAATGTAGCCAAAGACTCCATAGTTTTTGGTTTGAGAATATGATGAAATAAAGAAAAATGTCTCACTAAACTCTCTGCGCTTCTTTGCTATGAAGCAACAGTCAGTCCATGCGATTTTCTAGTGATTTTCATCACGGGTCATCCAGAAACAGTCTCTCTATGCTTTAGTACACGGGTAAGGTTGTGTACATCCGACCCCCCTTACCCCACCGTAGGTAGGAACCTTTGCGGCACTGGGGTAATGTTGTTGTTGTTTGTAGAACTGATTGCATAGGTTGCAGCAGATGTCTTTAATTTCAACCTAATCTAGTTCTTGTGGGTAGCATGAAGGAACATGATAGGGTTACCATCCATGAAGCTATGGAGCAGCAAACTATAAGTGTTGCAAAGGTAGATTATCATACCAAAATCAGTGTCAATTTATTATCCAAAATTTGTTAATACGGTCAATTCATGCAAAAAAGTGTCAAAGTTTTACGTTCAATGCCCATGTTCAACTTGCAATTTTATTGTTTTGTTATATGTAAATACTTCATTGGCTAATTAACATAAGCACTGCATATCTTCATAAAATTTGTAGGCTGGTCTTGTAACAACTCTGAGTACGAGGACAATTGTATTTGGTGCGACAAATCCCAAAGGACATTACGACCCTCAGCAGTGTATCTTTTCTTCTGGCCTAAGCATTTGTTCCTTTTGCATCTTCTGACTCGCTGGACAGTTAAAAAATACAGCTTTAATTGGTTTTATATGGATACATTTCATAATACCATTTCCTTAGCAAAAAAATATCATTTCCTTAGCAGAAGTTAGCTTTATCTGTCAATACTACTCTCTCTGCGCCATTGTTAAGCAGATTTGATATCGTCCTTGTTCTACTAGACACTAAGAACCCCGAATGGGATGATGTTGTTTCATCGCACATCCTTGAGGTGATGAATGTTATAACTAACATAATTGCTCGATTAGTTCTATGAAACATTTGAATGACCTGTATTTCACTATTTAACAGGCAGAAACAAAGAGTTGCTATTCTGAGGAGGATCTACATAATATCTGGCCACTTCCTATGCTTAGGCGGTAAAATGGGTTAAAGGACCAATTTTGATTTAGAAATTACAAAATGTGTCAATCCTTATATTTCTTAGTATCATCACTAGCTTTATCAAAAAGATGAATCTTCTATTACTCTTACTAAGCTCGATACTTTACTTGACAGGTATATCCACTTTGTGAAGCGAAATTTTCAACCAGTCCTCTCTAAGGAGGCAGAAAAAGTTATTTCAAGCTATTACCAACTCCAAAGAAGATTCGCAACCGAAAATGCAGGTAGTGGATGCTAATTGTCACTAGATGGTAAAGTGGACCTATACTGCCTAGTTGGTGCCTTGGTGGTTAATCAAGACTAGGCAGGTTGGCAGGATATAAGTGGCATTAGGTAGGGGCTAAGCAGGCACATATCTAGTCGCTCAAGGAGAGTCTTTACGTTTTTTAACAATAATGAATGGTAGATGACCATTTGATTTCTCATATTCTTATTTATTCTTTCCTCTATGGTGCATTTGGAACCCAAAAATTACTTGGGAGTAGAGTAATGATATGCTCAAACTCAATTAATTTACTTTATATGTTGTTTGAACTCATTTTATTGATTTATTTCCATTATATACACTAAAAAGCATAAATATTCGTTAAAAAAGTTTCATGAAAACAAAGCATTTCTCTTGCTAATGCTCAACATTAGAATGTACAGTAACATTCCTTGGCATTTTTTATCCTTCCCTGTATTAACATAAAGGTGAACTTTGCAGCTCGGACAACAGTGCGCATGCTTGAAAGTTTGATACGGCTTGCTCAAGGTACAGCTTACCAGATCACTACAGAGTTGAATGGTCTTTTAGTCTAATTCTTGTTCTGATTAAGATGTGAATATTATTTTAGCACATGCAAGGCTGATGTTCAGAAACGAAGTGACTCAACTGGATGCCATCACAGCTATCTTATGCATTGAGTCCTCCATGACTACCTCAGCCATTGTGGATAGTGTTGGAAATGCTTTACACTCCAATTTTGCAGAGAATCCCGATGAAGAAAGTATACCACTCCCACCTTTGCTTCTCAATCAAATCATTTACTTCTATTAACAAATATGACTAGGAGATTACTTGGCAAAGCTTTAAATTGTTGAAGTTGCTAAACTTGTGGTTAAGACGGTTGAATCTCCTGAGTTATGTAAAATGTATTTTACAAAATACATAGGTAGGAATTAAAGTCAAGAAAATACTACCTGTCTATAAATAAAGTTTCACTTTGATTGGGCATGAAGTTCATGAAACTGAAAACTAAGCTGGTGTGATGTATTTAGAATATATGTAAAAATAATATGAACACCACATTATTTTTCTTGAAAAAAAGGAGTGAAAATTTTGCGATAAGTAAGCAAAGTGAAGGTTTTTAGGGAATAGGGATGGAATTGCCATCCATTTCAGTCAAAAAACTAGTTATGTACTCTTTCTATAAATGCCAATTTAGCTAGCGGAGTGAAAAACTGTATATGTTAATCTTTGTTACAAGTGTATACCGACTGGAATGCTGAGAATCAAATATACCAAACGGGATTACAGTATTAAGCTGGTTCCTTAGCATTTGAAGATTACTAATCCCTGATTGGAAAAAATGTGCAGATGCCAAACAAGAAACATTGATCTTAGAGAAGCTGAGTTCGATGGGTGAATTTCCAGATGTGATCTCCACTCAGTCCACTGATCGTTGAGCAAAATAACGGGCAAGCTAATCATGCCACTCAAAGTAGCAGTCTCAAAGAGAACATCTCATCTTTTGTTCTGTTTCCTATTTTTTTTCATTTTCATATCCATTGAGCCTGTGTGACTATATGTATAACGCTCAAGACAAATAGTTCTTATTTTTAAGAAATTGTATGAAAATAATCATATGAATGTGTACTTATGGGTAATCTACTGTGCTATATCCTGGGTGGCTGGGTTAATACCACTAAGTCCTAAAACAGTAAAATGGTTGAGAATTTTCTTCGTGCCAAATAAGTTATATTTGAGCAAAATGGATTGCTCCTACTACAATTATTAGGAAAATGCCCCCTGCTGAGTCAAACTAAACTAACTGTATCTTACTAAAATATTAGTGTTGTACCTTGCCAATATTAGTGTTGTACCTTGCCAATATTTAAGTTGTGCACTGTTGAAATATAAACTACAAAATATAATATTGAAGAGAGGAGGAAAGATTTTCTGTGTATTTCATTGGAGGGTTAAGTCCCTATAAATATACATTACAAAGATAGAATATTCCTATAAGATTCTATACAATAATAATATCCTAGAGTATATTCCTAAAATATTCTAAAGTATATTCTAAGGATAGAAGAATATTCTAAACTATATTCTAAAGTATATTCTAATGTCTTTCACACTCCCCCTCAAGTTGGAGCATAGATATTTATCATGCCCAACTTGTTACATAAATAACCAACACGAATTCCATTTAATGCTTTAGTGAACAAATCTCCAAGTTGCTCTCCAGTCTTCACATATCCTGTAGAGATCAATCCTTGTTGTATCTTTTCTCGAACAAAGTGACAATCGACCTCAATATGTTTTGTTCTCTCATGAAACACTGGGTTGTTGGCAATGTGTATAGCAGCTTGGTTATCACACCAGAGTTTAGCAGGCATTGGTGTCTTCAATCCGATTTCACTCAGCAAATGGTTTATCCAGATTATCTCACATGCCGATTGTGCCACAGCCCGATATTCTGATTCAGCACTCGAACGAGAAACCACATTTTGCTTCTTACTTTTCCAAGAGACGAGATTACCACCAACAAAGACGCAATAGCCAGATGTGGATCTCCTATCATCTTTAGATCCAGCCCAATCAGCATCTGCAAAGCATTCTATTCTCATGTGATCATGATTTTGGTAAACAATACCTCGTCCTGGTGTCCCCTTCAAGTAACATAATATATGCTCTACTGCATTCCAATGATCAACTGTCGGAGATGACATATATTGACTCACTACGCTCATAGAGTAAGCAATGTCTGGACGAGTGACTGCGAGATAGTTAAGCTTTCCAACCAATCTTCTGTACCTTTCTGGGTCTTCGAATGGTATGCCTTCTGAAGTGAGTTGCACATTGGGAACCATGGGAGTTGTGTTTGGCTTTGCTCCCAATTTCCCCGTTTCAGTTAGTAAATCAAGTACATATTTACGCTGAGATAGAAATATGCCTTTCTTACTCCGTGTTACCTCAATACCCAGAAAGTATTTCAATGAGCCTAGGTCTTTTGTTTGGAATTGGCTATGAAGAAAATTCTTAAGGGCCAAAATACCTGCGGTATCACTTCCTGTAATCACAATATCATCGACATACACCACAAGCAATGTGATACCTGCTTTCGTTTTTCTGTAAAAGACAGAGTGATCTGATTGACCTTTTATCATTCCAAACCGTTCAATGGATTGACTGAATTTCCCAAACCATGCACGAGGACTCTGTTTCAGACCATAAAGAGATTTGCGAAGTCGACAAACTTTCCCATACTCCCCCTGAGCAACAAATCCCGGAGGTTGCTCCATATAAACTTCCTCCTGAAGGTCACCATGTAAGAATGCATTTTTAATGTCCAACTGGTGTAAGTGCCAATCATGAGTTGCAGCGAGTGAGATAAGTAACCTGACAGATGTTAATTTAACAACAGGAGAAAAAGTGTCAGAATAATCAACACCATAGGTTTGAGCATAACCCTTTGCAACCAATCGAGCTTTCAATCGAGCAACAGATCCATCTGGATTAACCTTAACAGCAAAGACCCACTTACATCCAATAGACTTCTTCCCTGAAGGCAAGTATACCAAATCCCAAGTACCATTAAGATCCAAAGCATTCATTTCCTCTACCATGGCATGTCGCCATTCAGGATGAGACAAAGCTTCTTTAACAGATTTGGGAACAGAAATAGAATCAATGGAAGCAACAAAAGAACATGAGGCAGGAGATAACTGACTGTATGACACAAATGAGGAAATAGGATGAGTACAAGACCGTGTACCTTTACGTAGTGCTATCGGGAGGTCAAGATCAGATGTAGAGACAAGATCTGAAGATGCAGGTACTGGTTCAGGACATGAGATCGAAGTCGGACCAGTATCAGGATATGTAATCACAGGTGTCACAGGTGGGGAGTGATCTTGTGCTTTGTGTCGACGGGTGTAAACCAAGTGTACAGGAGGTCTAGGGTCAGGAACAGTGACATTCGACATAGTTACTGAAGGTGTGGTCTCAGGTATAGTAACTGTGTAAATGAGTATTTCATCGTTGTCCTCATGAATATCTGTCTTGGATGATGAAAATGGTGTATTTTCATGAAATGAGACATCAATAGAAATAAGATATCGACCTGTACTTGGACAAAAACATCTATACCCCTTTTGAACTCGAGAATAACCCAAGAAAATACATTTCAATGACTTGGGGTCCAATTTCGTCCGATGAGGGTTAACATCTCTAACAAAACAAGTGCAACCAAATATTTTAGGTGGAATAGGAAAAAGTTCTTTATTTGGAAAAAGACATTGATAAGGAGTTTTACCATCCAAAACAGAAGATGGCATACGATTGATCAAAAAACATGAAGTAGACACAGCGTCAGCCCAAAACTGTTTAGGCACATTCATTTGGAATAGAAGAGCCCTTGCAGTTTCTAACAGATGTCGATTCTTTCTTTCAGCAACTCCATTTTGAGGAGGTGTGTCTACGCATGAAGTTTGATGAATAATGCCATGTTGAAGCATAAAAGATTTAAATGGAGCAGATAAATATTCTTGGGCATTGTCTCCCCTTAACACACGAACAGGAACATTAAATTGAGTTTTAATTTCAGCACAAAATGCAGAGAAATGAGTAAATAACTCGGATCGGCGCTTCATAAAATACACCCATGTCATACGAGAATAATCGTCAACAAAAGTGACAAAATATTTGAAACCAGGTTTGGACACAACTGGACATGCCCCCCAAACATCAGTATGGACAAGATCAAACGGAGCATTTGCTCGTTTATTAAGTCGGGGACTTAAACTAGTGCGATGATGTTTAGCAAACTCACACGACTCACATTGTATAGAAGACACCTTATTAAACTGAGGATATAATTGCTTCATTAGTGAGAGAGATGGATGTCCTAATCGGTAATGAGCTTCTAATAGATTTCCAACCCCAAGGCAAGAGATACCTTTTGTAATTGATGTATCCAAAATATAAAGACCACCCGACTCATGTCCTTGACCAATAGTATGCTTCGTTAACAGATCCTGAAACACACAATATCCCGGAAAAAATGTTACAGAACAATTAAGAGTACGTGTGATTTTACTGATGGAAAGCAGATTAAATGCAAAATTAGGAAGACTCAAAACAGACGATAATGGTAATGTAGAAGTTGGTACAACAGTACCAGATCCAAGAACGGGTGAGGTAGACCCGTCTGCTAAAGTGACACTGGAAGCAGGTAAATGTGAGTGAAATGATGAGAATAGATTAGGATTACCAGTCATATGATCTGTGGCACCTGAGTCAATGACCCATTTTGAGGATGATGAAACAAGACATGTGTTTGAAATACCTGAATTTGCGACTACCGAGATAGGGGTAGATGAATGCTTTAGAGATTCTTGGTAGCAAATAAATTTAGCATACTCGTCTGAAGAAATAGCAATTGATCCATCAAATGAACTCGTAGCGGAAGCAACATGAGCAAGCTGATTTCCTTGATTTTTGAACAGCAACTTTCTACATTCTTTGAGCAAGTGCCCGGGCTTCTTGCAGTAATGGCATATTACTCCTCTGCCAAATGGACCCGTAAAAGACATTCTTTTTTCTTTTTTTTTTTTGAATTTTTTTTTTTTTGATTTTTTTTTGATTTTTTTTTTTACTTTTTTTTTTTTTGAGAATAAATAAATAAATACAGCTAATTAAGACTTACCAGCCAATGATAGTGGCGACTCCAAAAATATAACGCAGCCCCTTTCTAATTCGAGCTAGTTCACCTAGTCTCAAATCCCAACCTTTCTCAACAGTCTGCGTCGCCAACCTCAAGAAGACCGTGGATCCAAAAGCTCGCAGATCGGAAAAATGGATTTGCCTGGCAGAGATGGCGATTTCCGATTAGAAATCCGGTCAGCTATGAAGCTTCACTCGCCGGCGCGTGCGGCAGCCGAGAAAGTCTTCGGCGGCGCGTGTGACTGACGCGTGAAGCTTTGCCGGTGCGGACTCCAAAGACGTGGTCGGCGGCGGCAAGTGCAATTGGTTAGGACGGAGGTGAGAAATAGGACGGTGTTGGTCTGGACAGAGGTTCTGTTTAATGGTGTGTAGAGGTTCTGTAGGCAGAATGGTGTGTAAGGTTCTGAAAATGGTGTGTAAGGTTCTGAAGTTAACTCAAGTTCTTGGAGAAAGAACCCAGCCTGAATACTGAACTGAAGTCAGCCTGAATAAAGAACTGAAATCTGAAAAACTAAACTGAAATGGAAGGCTCTGATACCATGTTGAAATATAAACTACAAAATATAATATTGAAGAGAGGAGGAAAGATTTTCTGTGTATTTCATTGGAGGGTTAAGTTCCTATAAATATACATTACAAAGATAGAATATTCCTATAAGATTCTATACAATAATAATATCCTAGAGTATATTCCTAAAATATTCTAAAGTATATTCTAAGGATAGAAGAATATTCTAAACTATATTCTAAAGTATATTCTAATGTCTTTCACATGCACCATGTGCATATAATAAAAATGCATGCAATACTCCTATTATTTCTTAAAAACATGAATTCATGAAGTTTATGTGAGGAAATGTTTACTCTTTTTCAGCATAAAGTCATCTCCTAGTTAAGTATTCGTTGTGTAATAAAGAGCAATTGTTTTATGTGCGGAATAAATAATCTAAGTAAATAAAATTACATTCTTAAAATGATAATCTTTTATTTGTTTTTTTTCGCGTCCGTCGAACCTAAAAATGTACAAACATATAATGATTTATATAATTGATCATATTTTTAACATATGAGGAGAGCTCAAATAAAAAGAGGTGTTCCCGTGCAAAGTGCGAACGATTGCACTTTTTCCTCGTCGCATTGCACTATTGCATGTTTCTGTTGTACTTTTTTCGCGATAGCAAAAAACTTCGGTTTATTTACCAAATTGGCACTGTGTTTTTTTTTATCTAATTTTTGGCTCATTTGAGCCATTAGATGTGGAAATGAATGCACAAGATTTTTTCCCACTTTGCATGAAAAGATCTCTTTGTATTTGAGCACGGCCCGTTAACATATTATATAAAAATATTCATATGGATTTATACGTATGGGTAATCTAGTGTGTTTAGTTTTTTTAATCATATCTAAATTAATACTTTCTCTATCCTGAAATGGGTTTAAAATTTTATTTTGTCCCAAATAAATTATATTTAAACAAAATAAGTTGTTACTGTTACTTCTACTATTAGACAAATGCTCCAAACAAGTACATAATGCTTAGTGAAACTAAAAAAAACAAATGAAATGCAAGGTCTTTAAAAGTATTCACTGTTAAGTGATCGTCCCTTGGTTAAATATAAGAGCATCTCCAATGCTACAATGTGCACGGTGCACATGTGACATGAGAGAGATAGACACAAAAACTTGAATCTATAACATTTCTCTCTCATTCTTTCCACGGTTTTATGTATTTTTGGTAAGTTTTTCACTGCAATGTTAAGCACAATGTCTACACCTAGACATTGTATTTGACATTGTGAAGAAAAACTTACCAAAATGATGCAAGATCTTTCAAATAAGGAAAGAGATATTATATTTATTGTTTTTTAATTGGCTATCACTCATGCCACGTATGCACCGTTCACATTTTAGCATTAAAGATGATGTAAGTGTTGTACCGTGCTGATACAGTGATACTTAACACTGTGGAACACGAAGAATTAAGCAGTATATAATGTGCATATGTACCATGTGCATATGTACCATGTACGTATTATATAATGCGCACCGTACCATGTACGTATTATAAAGTGCATATGATACCCATTACGGAGTATTTTTTACACGTGTATCCAAATTTGTATACAAAGTGTACATTATCGGTGTACACAAGCAATTTGACAGAAAATTCTGTCATTTTTAAAACGAATTGCCTATATGCAAAATGAGATACAAATTGAGGTACCTATAGCATTTGTGGAGCTTTATATGAGGAAATGGCGGGTAGTTGTCCTCATAAAACCCATCTTAAATTAGGTTATTATTATTATTACTAATTAAGTAATTAGCTAAGGAGTATTGAAATAAAAAGTTACTTCTCCTTCCCTAAATTAACTTCTACGGTACAATTGGCACGAGGTTAAAAAATAAAGTGCGCATTGGGTGGTGGAAAACTGTTCAGAAGAGACAAATGTATAAGAATATGTAAGAATTGCTAAAAATTACAATTTTTTTTCAAAAAAGTAAAAATGAAAATTTAATTTGGGATGACGGAAAAAAAAATTGAAAGTTTAATGAGTTTTTTATATAAATATTATCAAAAGTAATTGGGTTTACAAAAATATGACCATGAGTATTTAAGCCACATGGAGACCCGTAACTAAACAAGTGATATGACCTGATTGCCCAAGCCGGTTAAGACTTATTTTGTGAAAATTCCATAAAATATGTTACCTAATTGCGGAAATGATGGAGTTCATTAAGGAACTATTCATTACTAACCTACTGAAGTTGAATACGACTTGTTCCACACGGAAAGCATTAAGCATTTGTAAGCATTTGTAAACCAGATAAAAATTCCAATAACTAACATACATGATTGTGATGATTTTGGTTTCACAACGATAACTAAAACTCTCTGACAGTAGATAGTATGGATTTTTGCAGTAACGTAGGCAACACAATTATGATGTTGATGGTAACTAATTTATGAAGATAATAGAGTAATGAATTTTGTAGTAACGTAAACAGGCTTGGGCGGGTATGGTACGTGTTTCTGGGAGTGTTGTAACTACTTTAAGATAAAGAGCATATAGTAATGGAGTTGTAGATGAAAGTACTGAATTTTTAGTAACTACGGTAAAAAATATTAAGATGTACATAGTATTTGCTTAACAGTGACTATTGATTTGTAAGATAGTGTAGTAAGGAAGTCTACGTAGTAATGGTTTTTAAATAATTTCAGCCATCTCTGTATTTGTGCATAGTAATGTATTTGATGTAATGAATTACAAGTAATTAAAGAGAGAGTAGTAACTAGTAGTGGACAGTTCATTGTCATCATTGGATTTACAAAGAGGAATTAATACGATATAATTCAAGTGCGAAAGTTTAGTCGGGGAGTAAAAGGAAAGAATTATTGCAGAGAAGGAGACTTGGCCGTTAGCGGAAGGTCAAATAAAGAATATTTAGTTCGGTTTTATATTAATTTAAACATGAGATAATGTTTAGTAATATTTTTGTTAATGGCCTCTCAATTGGTAATATTTATGTAATTTTTTCAAGTTTAATTAGGAACGGAGGGAGTATTATTTTTTTGTTGAGTAAACGATCTCAATTAAGTAAAATATGTAATTTAAGGTTGTTCTAAACAGTTTGTAAATAAGTAATCTCCAAATCATGGGTAAAATAATGATTCGTTTAGGTAAAATGAATCATTAATGATTCGTTTTAGTAATCTCCAGATGGCTAAAATTCATATCACAACATTCAGATAGAGGATAAAATGACAAAAGGATCACACGCAACCACCAGCCTTCGAACCAGTCTTAGAGTCAATCACCTCCAAAAAAGCAATATAACTCGATGATCCTATAATGAGCATAAATGAGCCAATGACGGTTAAAGTAGATCTCCCATCACCCATTCCTGATGTAATAGTCTTACAACAATAAAAGTAACCAACAAAAAAATAAACAATCTGATCATGAAAAATAAACAGCAAGCAAAATGTAAAATTAAAATACTGCTTCCAAAACCTAAACTCTCCTGCACTCCATGGCGGTGGTTCAGGAGGGGGACGGTCCAACAATACTGTAGCATCTTCCGCTCCTTGCGTCCAGTCCAGATCTGTTTCAGCCCCTAGCCCCACGTTTCGTCCATGGCTTCTGATTTCAATCACGAACGGCATCCACGAAACTCTCCACCTGCTACTAGGGGTACACAACATTTGACCGCCATATAGATGCTGCGGTCTGTTGAAGAAGAGAACCTCACGAAAGGTGGGCGGAAGCCGCACAAGAAAGCCGCACTTCGTCAAAGACGAAAGCGAAAAAAAAAACAACCCCTAATTTAGCGGAGACGGCCGCCTAGAGAGAGATTCTCTCGCTTAGAGAAAGAAGCAACTTTTTTTTTTGGGTAAAATGAACTAAAATATAACTTGTGCAATAAAGTAAATGTAAATTTTAATAAAAAATAGGGTAACCTAAATGAACATAATCTCCAAAACCCTCTACTTCAAGTCGTTCTTTGATTTTATATTTTTCAAGTTCTCAAGAGTTGCCTGAGATTGACTCCAATTTATTAATAATGTAGGTTTTGTTGTAAAAGTTTATTAACTAAGGGTTTGTTTGCAAACACTGCTCACAATCACTTTTGAACTTTTCAAAGTAATTTGGGAAAAAGTGATTAATACTAAAAGTTGATAGTGTTTAAGAAAAAGTGATTTTGAAAAGTAAAAGTTGATAGTATTTGATAAAATAAATGTTTTTTTTGTAATAAAAAAAATAAAAAAGCAAATTCTAGCTTTTAGCTTTCAAGTATTTATTTAAGTAGAATTATCATTTTTTTTAAAAGTAGAATTGTCATTTAAAAATACTCTTTTTAGCTTTTTTAAACCAAAAATTGGAAAACATTTTTTTAATTGTTTTTAAACAAAGCATTTAACCCCAAACAAGCGGACTATAAGTGAAGTGCCGTACGAGGGTACGACTTGAGGGAAGAAAACCAGAGGCAATCCAACTGGCGAACTGCAGAAACAGACAGTTTGTAGTGCTCGTAGTTTCCGCCACTTTTGTGTTCTGACGGAAAAAACCCACCGTCCTGCCGCCATTTTCCCTTGCTTTAGAGAAGAAAAAAGGGGAAGAAGAAGAAGAAAGAGACAAAATGGAGAGTTTGGCACTCTACTCTCCATCTCTAGCCGTCACTTCCTTCTCTAACCACGCATTCCGATCCCGCTCCTCCGTTTTCCTCGCCTTCAAATCCGCCGTCACAACAACCGCCTCCCTCCGCCACGTCTCCTCACCCGGATTCGTTCTTCCCACTCCCAAACCTTCCCTCTTCTTCAACCCACTCTCCAAACCCAAATCCCCTCCACCCATTTTCCTAGCTTCCTCATCCGGTGGGGATACAGTATCTACCGTCCAAATCCCTGAACCCCAAGGTGCAAAGCTCATTCCTTTGCTGCAATCCGTTTCCATCGGGCTTCTTCTCCGTTTCGCCGTCCCGAAGCCTCCGGATGTTTCCGCACAGGCATGGCAATTGCTCGCCATTTTCGTCTCCACCATTGCCGGCCTTGTTCTCCGCCCTTTGCCGGTCGGAGCTTGGGCTTTTCTCGGGCTTACAACCTCAGTCCTAACGAAAACCTTGTCATTCTCCTCGGCATTTGGAGCATTCACGAATGAAGTCATTTGGCTGATAGTGATTTCTTTCTTCTTTGCCCGTGGATTCGTGAAGACTGGGCTGGGAGATAGAATTGCCACTTACTTTGTGAAGTGGTTGGGGAAGAGTACCTTAGGGTTGTCTTATGGGTTGACCCTTAGCGAGGCATTGATTGCTCCGGCAATGCCTAGCACCACTGCCCGTGCAGGGGGTATTTTCTTGCCTATTATTAAATCACTTTCGTTATCATCAGGGAGTGAGCCTGGGAATCCTTCCTCGAAGAAGTTGGGGTCCTACTTGGTCCAGTCTCAGTTGCAGGTTGCTTTTCTGTTGCTATTATATTGATGTCTTGTGTTGTCTTTGTTTTTTATAGACCAATTGGTAATGTTGAAGTAATGAAGTCTCAAAAAGTATGATCTTGCGCCTCTATGCCCAATTGATTACACATTCTGATGATAGTTTTCGCTATTGATGCCAAGAGTCATACATGACTCCTTCACGGAGTCTACTCATGTCACACCATCATCACCCTTCGTTCTTATAGTCGAGTCATTTTTGCTCATGCCATCCCACTATGAATGATGGTAGGACATATGTGACCCCGGGAATGAGTCATAAATGACTTTCTATTTTTGTCATTTTCGTCTTCATTGGGAGGGAAGTTTTGTTTATAAGCTAAACGAATGAAATGCATGTTCGGATCAAGTCATTAAGAATTGTACACTTATCAATCCAAATATTCCAATATAGGCTTATGGATGGGTCATAGGAACTAAATCAGCCTAAGAATCCTCTAAATAATAGTGACTGCTACCCCCTCTGTTCACCAGTTGATCCATTAGGTACTTGGGTTCTTCACAGCGTTTAGGTGAGAAATTGTAGGTGTAGTGACTAGTGAGTAGCAGGAGATAGTGTATGGCAAAGGTAAACAAAGGAAGTAAGAGCAGACGAAAAAGTAAAAGTATTTGTGTATTTTGGATGTTTGCCAAACTAGGAAACTGGAGCAAGTATTAATAATCTTTCCACAAAATGAATAGGAAGCATCTAATGAAAGATGGAGGGATAATAATTATAAGAGTAATAATAATGATAATGATAATAATAGTAATAATAATAAGGAGTTATCTTTTCCTAGAAGTATTCATGTTCTATTTAAGTCAATATTCCTGATAGCAATACTGTAACACTTAAAGATGGCGGAAAGTTCATGTTTTTCATTCATCACACTTAGCGGTAGGCTGTTATATTGATCTTACCCCCAAGGATGTATAATATAATGTTTTGTACAATGGTTGTTTTTGGGTTTAGGATTCTAACTTATCATGTGATCATGGCAGTCTTCTGCACACTCCAGTGCCCTTTTTCTGACAGCTGCTGCTCAAAATTTACTGTGCCTCAAACTAGCTGAGGGGCTTGGTGTGGTGATATCAAACCCATGGATTACTTGGTTCAAGGCTGCTAGTTTACCTGCAATTGTTTCTCTCCTGGCTACTCCATTCATTTTATACAAGTTATATCCTCCCGAGATCAAAGATACACCAGATGCCCCTGCACTGGCAGCAAAAAAATTGGATCTTATGGGTCCTGTTACTGGAAACGAATGGGCCATGATTGGAACAATGCTTCTTGCTGTCTCTTTGTGGGTTTTTGGGTAGGTTCAAACTCTATTTCTTCCTCCCTTAACTTTATCAGAGCTCATTTAGTAATACATAACTGCCCATTTAGTAATCTTGTTTTTTTTTTGCCTTATGAGCAAGTTTCATTTATACCACACATTCTTTTTAATTTCATGTGCAAGTTTCATTTGTACCACACATTCTTTTTAATTTCATGTGCCTGATTTGTTTAAGGGAGAAGTAGCAAATAAGCCCTCGAAGTAACTAAAAAAGTGCAAATCACCCCTTATATAGGAGGTTCTGTCCGGCCGTCGCCATTTGGGGCGCTTCTCTAATTTTTTGATGATTTTTTTTAGCATCTTCTTCATTAAGTCTAGTTTACCCATACCAAATTTCAGCTAAAACTTCAACCGGGAAGGAAGTCAAATGATTTTCTGAAATATACTGCGTTATTTAACCGCGCAGTTATCTTAAAAAATTTATTTGAATGCCTTCCCGATTGAATTTTTAGCTGAAATTTGGTATGGGTAAACTAGACTTAATGAAGAAGATGCTAAAAAATTTTCATCAAAAAGTTCCACCGGGAACCTCCCCAAATGATGACAGCCGGACAGAGCCTCCTATATAAGGGGTGATTTGCACTTTTTTGGTTAGTTCGAGAGCTTATTTGCCCCTTTTCCCTTTGTTTAATAATGGAAAAAAGTAAGAGTGAAGTATTTTTTGTAGCTGAATTGGTTGAAGAGGGACCATCTTAGTTTTTCCATATAATATATCTTTACGTAAACAAATTTAGCTTACTTGACTAATTTAAATATTACCAAATTTGCTCTAAAATGTATAAAGACCCTAAAGGGCTGATGCCGAGGTGACTGAATTTCTGGTGACTTGGTTGAATCTACTGCAGTTACTAAATTTGTGGCAGAAGTTACTGAATTTTGTGGCTTACTTGGATTATTTAATGATACATGTCGAAGTTTAAATAAATTAGTGAAAATAGTCTCTATTAAGAAAGGAAGAAAGATTAATTTGAGTGATATCAATTGAAAAAAATGAATTCCTACACATCTCATATTCTTTCCTATTCAGCCGTCTCAGTCAAGCTAGTTATTGTTTTGTGAAAAAAGTTGTTGGTGAGGCCTATGAGGAAAAACGGCGCCTACCAAGCGAGCTCTTACATTGCTCCTTTCATTGTATTTGCACATTGCCTAGAGATATACTCATTTTTATGCAAACAAAGAAGGATCTTATGAAGCATTGTGGTTATTATTCCACGGATGCTTGTTATGGCCTTCTCAGGAAACCCATCATTGTTTTACTCTGGAATTGATAACAGATGGGTTTTAGTCACAAAAATTAATAAAGTAATACTTTGCCTATGCGAAAAACATGATCATAGTTTTTGAGAATCATTGCTGTTACATTTATACTTATAATCATATTAAGGAACTTTCAATCATTTAATTCTTCTTAAAAATACTCTCAGGGATGCAGTAGGAGTATCAAGTGTTGCTGCTGCAATGCTTGGCCTATCGATTCTCTTGTTGTCAGGAGTGCTTAATTGGGATGACTGCTTAGCTGAAACGTCTGCTTGGGACACTCTTTCCTGGTTTGCCGTTCTAGTTGGGATGGCGGGCCAGCTGACTAACCTGGGGATAATTAGTTGGATGTCAAACTGCGTGGCAAAGGCTCTTCAATCTTTATCGCTGAGCTGGCCGGCTGCGTTTGCCATACTTCAAGCCTCTTACTTCTGTATCCACTACATGTTTGCTAGCCAAACAGGCCATGTGGGTGCCTTATACTCAGCTTTCTTTGCCATGAACTTAGCCTCAGGAGTGCCTGGCATCTTAGCAGCGTTGGGTTTGGCTTATAATACAAACCTATTCGGTGCTTTGACACATTATAGCAGTGGTCAAGCTGCTGTTTACTTTGGAGGTATGGTTATTAATTGATTACCTCCCATCTTCCCTACTATTTCCTCCCAATCTCATTGAAAACTTTAGTCCTCACAGAGCCCACCCCAATTCTGAATCCTCTATTGCATGTCCCAATTTCCTACTCTTTGGACTAGACTGACGGTTGATTGCAACCGTCTGATCTATTAAGACATTCTGCATCGGTCAAATATAGAAATACAAAAAGACCTCAGACCTCAATCTACTTCTACACGGTCGATTTTTTTTATTATTGTATCAAAGCATGTAAAGCTCGGGGAACAATTTGATCATGATAAACAAAAATGAGCTTGGGGACTTTAAGATCCGCACATTTGTGTTAGGTTTGTTCAAAATTGATTTGCTTAAAGAGTCACCATCACAATTTCGGAAGCATGTTAAGCGCTTTTATTGGACCGATATAAAAATACATAGTGACATAAAAGACTTTTAGGTTGGTTTTCTAGGATCATCATCATCATCATAATTATCATTACCTCAGTGCTGCAAAGGCTCCCACCTACGGTTGGGTAAGGGGGTAAGATGTACGCAGTCTTACCCCTGTTCTAAAGCACATAGAGACTGTTTCCGGATTTGGCTTTCTAGGATGAACGAATTAATTAGATACAAGCCGAGGATCTGAATCCTCCCTTATTTTTTCTTTATATGATCTGACTCTTCTTATGTTTTCTTTGTTTTCTGAAAAACGAACAGCTGGGTATGTAGATCTTCCAGATTTGTTCAAATTTGGATTCATAATGGCTATTGTCAGTGCAATTATCTGGGGAGTTGTGGGCACTTTCTGGTGGAAGTTCTTGGGCCTATACTGAGATGGAATTCATACATACTGTGTAAGTAGATCCCCACAAGTTACCCATCTTTCAACAAATAAATTTATCTTGCACACAGATGGTGATGATGAAATTCCATTTTTTGAAAATGAAATTTTTTTCTTCATCCAAAAAATTGAAAATGAACTTTTAGTTCACATGTATTATTGATGTTTTTTTTCTTTTCTTTAAATGAAGTTCTGCTTATTTGTAAAACATTATTATTATTTTTTTTATTACTGGATCTGTACGATTTGCAGCTCTGAGCTTTTCACTTCCATCAGCATGGAAGAGGGCACATTGCAATTTGCCATTTGGTCGCCTAAATTTAGTGTTGGGGGTCCAGTTGTTGGACAAGATCTGAGGATGGGATCTTTGTACAAATAATAATAATTTAGCATATTTATTCTCTATAATTATGTTCAATTATTTTCATTAATGCAATAATGCAATGCACATTTACCAGTCTACCCCCAATCTAATATCATATTGCCGCCATGCCATGCGTGTTTTCCCATGTTACTTTTTTTCATCTCCTCCAAATTGAATTGATTAGGTATGCCGTATGCTGTATAATAAAGTGAAGGGACACCATGTGAATGCGATGCAAACCTATTATTTCTTCACACGTTGAAGTTGAACACTTCTTTTTGCTAGCTAAGTATGGGCGAACCCGGTTCCAGAATTGAACCGGGAATTGGGTGGATAATTGAACCGGGCCAGAATCGAGCAAGTAAATTAACCGGGTTGTCATCAGACTGTTGCCTGTTTTTTGGTTGCACTTCAGAACCGGTCCAAGCCGCTTCTTGTTCGTCCAAATAGAAGTGGAGCTTACTGGTTCTAATTCTTTTTTTTTGTCCTCACCAAATTTAATTAGCATTAATCAAATCAAAAGATAAAGCGTCAACAATACAACTCGGGGGAGTAAACAACCAAATCTGGCTTTCAGACAAAGAACAAGCCGCTTTGGCTAATGCATGTGCGACTTTGTTCGCTGAACGCCGAACAAACGAAAAAGATATATTACTAAACTCCGAGCTGATATCTCTAATGTCATCCGCTATCACTCCACCATATGACAAGCTTGAGCCACTTTGAATTTCCGAGACCGCTAAAAAAGAGTCCGACTCAACCTCAATAGAATCCCAAGCTTGAGCTTTCAACCAACTCAAGGCTTCCCGAATCCCGAGCAGCTCCGCCTCCAACGGGGAACAACGTCCTTCCCCCTTCTTGCTTCCACCTGCTAAAAACTCCCCTGCAGCGTTTCGAACTACCCAACCCAGCCCATAAGATTGCCCAACAATAGAAGCATCAACATTTGCCTTTAAAAAGCCACTTCCTGGACAGCTCCAAACCTGACTTCCCAGCGGCAGACTTGTCCCAGACCTGTGCATTTTCACCTGGGCAGATCTCCAGCTCTCAACAAAACTCCAGGCTTGGTGCATGAATTGACTGGGAAGCTTAAAATCCCCCTGCCACACCCGATGGTTACGTTCAGTCCACAACCCCCAACACCCCCAAGCTACTGTCCACAAATCTTCCCCTTTCTTGGCCTGGAAAACTGACCGAAGCCAATCCAGAAAGCTCCTACCTGTCTGCTTGGAGACACACCACCCTACTGAATTCCAAGCCCCCCTCGCCACCTCACAATTCACAAAAAGATGTAGCAGCGATTCATCCTCTTCCCCACATAAACCACAACGAACCGGACAATCAACCCACCTCCGTTTAAGGTTCTCCGTCGTCGGTAAATTCCCTGTGCAAATCTGCCAGAAAAGGACTTTGATCTTCGGAGGAAGCTCCCAATTCCAGACAGCAGTCCAATCCCACCATCCCTCTGCACAAACCTCCCCCGCTAACTTCCTGTAGCAACTCCTTACACTAAACTTACCATTCTGCTCTCCTTTCCAAATGGGACGGTCAGGAATCTCTCTGTAGCTAAGTGGAATGCTTCGAATTAATGCTTTATCTCTGTCATTAAACTGCTCAGTCAGGATATCGTCATCCCACGAACCACCGGACGGAGCTAAAAGATTTGCTACCTTGATATCCTCCAAACCCTCAAACACAACTGAAGATAACTTAGAACTGAAAACATCGGGCAGCCAAGGATCCTCCCAGACCCGAATAGAACTTCCGTCTCCCACTCGCCAGAAATAACCCTCCTTAATAACCTGCTGAGCCTCGAAAACACTCCTCCATATATATGAAGGATTAGATCCTAATCGTGCTGATAAAAAAGATCCACCAGGATAATATCTAGCTTTGAAAACTCTACTTACCAATAAATCTGGTTCCGTAAAAAGCTTCCATGCTTGCTTAGCTAACATAGCAATATTAAATTGCCTAATTTTACGGAAACCCATACCTCCAAACTTTTTTGGTCGAGTAAGGAAATCCCAGTCCCTCCATCTGATTCCTTTCCCAGAATTGCCCGTCCACCAAAAGCCATTCATAAGAGCTTCTAACTCCCGACACAGCTCTTGAGGGAGGAGAAAAACATTCATAGCATATAAAGGCATGGCTTGGATTACCGTTTTCAAGAGCACTTCTCTCCCCGCGCGAGATATGAATCTGTTATTCCAGTTTTGAAGTCTTCGGACAACCCGCTGCCTTAGATAATCCATAATCTCTCTTTTATTCCGACCAAACAAAGCCGGCAGTCCCAAATATTTCTCCCCTACTTGCGCTGGTCCCACTCCAAGAAGCTCAATAAGACCCTCTCTACAGTTCACTGGTACATTGGAGCTGAAAAAAATCTTAGATTTATTAAAATTAACCACCTGTCCCGATGCTAGCTCATAGTCATGTAGGATCTCCTTAACCACCGTAGCCTCCCCATGATTGGCCTGGAAAAACAACAAACTATCGTCTGCAAAAAGTAAGTGAGAAATTCTCGGAGCCCCCCTAGCCACCGCAATGCCATGAATGTGCCCAATATTTTCATGCCACCGAAGAAGAGAACTAAGACCTTCTGCAACCAGAATAAACAAATAGGGTGATAATGGATCCCCTTGACGTAGTCCCCGTGAAGGGAAAATCGGCCCAATTTCTGAATCATCAAAAGGTATAGAATAGGTTACCGACCGCACACACAACATAACAATATGAACCCATCTGTCTGAGAACCCCATATGTTTTAACATTCCTTCTAGAAAACCCCATTCCACCCGGTCGTATGCCTTACTCATATCGAGTTTTAGCGCCGCATAACCCACTTTGCCCTGACTTTTACGTTTTAAAAAATGTTGTGTCTCGAAAGCTATCATAATATTATCAACAATGGACCTCCCTGGAATAAAAGCACTCTGCTGCTCCGAGATGCATATATTTAAAAGAGCTTTCATTCTATTAGCTAAGACTTTTGAGAAAATCTTATATGCTACATTACAAAGAGCAATCGGTCTCCAATCAGTAAGCAACTCAGGCTGCTCCTTCTTAGGGATTAGAACAAGATGTGTATGATTCATACCTTCCGGGATCGTGCCTGAATAAAAGATAGCTCTGCAAAAATCCACCACATCAGGGCCAATAACATCCCAAAAATGCTGAAAAAATCCCGGGCTCATTCCATCCGGACCTGGTGACTTGTCCGGATACATCACAAAGAGCGCGTTTTTCACCTCCTCATGTGTAATAGGCCGCAACAGAAGCTCATTGTGGCGGTCATTCAGCTTGCGGTCTACAAAGTGAAAAACATGATCTTCAAAACCCTGCATAGAAGAGAAAATGTCATTATAATAATCTCCGATCATGTTAGCCAAATCACCTCTGCCCTTCACCCAGCTGCCATCATCCGCTCGCACCCCCTCCATTTTATTCTTCCTCCTCCGAATCTTAACCGCATTATGGAAAAATCTGGTATTAAGGTCCCCCCCCTCTATACCAGAATTCTTTTGCTCGTTGTCTCCAATATGAATTCTCCCTCTCCAAAAGTGATAAATATTCACTTTTAACTCTATCAAACTCAGCTATCCCCCAAGCATCAGATCTGCCTCTAAGGTAATGGAGTCTCTTCTTGCAGAAAGTGATTCTCTTCCCAAACATACCGATTTTTCCTTTTCCCCATTCCTCCACTGCCTTGCTACACGCCGCTATTCCTCCCACCAAGCCTCCACTCCTTCCAACACCCCAACTCCTAACAACAACCTCCATGCACTCCTCCTCACGCAGCCACACATTTTCAAACCGGAAACGCCGTCTACGGTTGACCCCCCGAGCCGGAATAAGCCTGATAAACAGAGCAAGATGATCACTGGGTGCACCCTCTAAAGATTCAGCGGTGGCTTCCCCAAAAATCTCCAACCAGCTCTCCGACGTCAAAATTCTGTCCAACTTTTCTTCCACCCAATTAGGAGTGCCCCTCCACCGTTCCCAAGTAAACTGATATCCTTCAAAAGAAAAATTAATCAATCCACTAGCCCAAACAGCTTCCCTAAACCCCCGCAACATCCAGGGTGGATGAGGAATTCTTCCCCTTTTTTCTGAAGCATAAAGGAGATCATTAAAATCTCCCATCACAAGCCAAGGGAGCGTAGACCCCAGACTAAGAGACTTCAAAAGAGCCCAAGAGTCTCGCCTTTTTTGACGGTCGGGAAACCCATAAAATCCAGTGAATCTCCACAACGGCCCCTCCTCCTCCAATTTTAGTGAGGCATCAATATAGTTAGCCGTAGAGCTCTGAATATTCACCTGAATTCCTTTATCCCAAAATAGTGCAAGACCACCGCGGTGCCCATCACTCTCTACCACAAAACTAAAGTCCATACCAATTCGTCTTTGAACGTCCTCCACCCTAGAAGTATCAGAAAAAGTCTCCATCAAAAATACAAGCTGCGGCCGCTTAGAGTGGACTAAATCCACTAAAACTTGAACTGTCCGGGGGTTGCCAAGCCCACGGCAGTTCCAACTGATGCAACTCATTGGTCTAGGCGGGCCTGGTGTCCAGGACCCGCCTCCAATACGTTTTTTGGCTGAACCTCCTCAGAATAGCATATAAATCTTCCTCCCTGCACCCCATCGGCCTGATTAACTTTTCTTTTCTTTTGTGATGTACCAGACTGACCAACAACCCCTTCCCGCCACACAACCAGACCCGAACCTCCAACTTCCTGTGCAGGAATCCCTGCAGCACTCTCTGTATTCTGAGAAGCATACCCCTGAGATGAAGTTGCCTGCTCTCCAAACCTGCCCCTGCTAGTTTCGGACAGAAAATTGCCCTCCCCATCAACCAACCATCTACTCACTCTATTGCCCATATTACGACGACCCCCAGCTCGCAGCCATGCCCCATAAGCCTTTTCCTGCCCTTCCGTATAACCAGAAAAGCGTTTGGGACATAATCGGTCAACGTGACCCATTAGACCACATATAAAGCAGAAATGAGGAAGGCGTTCGTATTTAAAGTACACCATATAACTCTCTGCTCCTCGTTTAAGTGTCATGCATCTTTTAAGGGGCATATTAACATCTAATAACACCCTGATTCTCATGAATTCCTTCCACCCCCCTTTAAAATTATTTTGATCAGCAAGATGGAAAACACCAATATGGTTGCCAATTACCTTGGCAGTCTTCTCTGTGAATA